GTGAGGGTGGTAGCTGAGGAAGGCATTGTCATTGCTGAGCAGGGTGTAGTTGATGGTGCTGTTTGGGTCTGCCAGCAGCAGATCCTGGTGCTGGTTTATTACCTGTAGGAGCCAGACAGAGGATTGGTGTAAAGTAAGTGGCAGAGCTAAGCCTGTCTGGGTTTGGTGTGCAGTTCCCCATCCAACCAGTGGCTACAGTGACAAGCATGTATTAGGTTAGGTGCTCTGTGAATGAGAAACAAACTATAAGAGAAAGGCAGTGGGAGTGAGAGGGATGGTAAACCTGGCAGGGTGTATTTGTTTGGGTGCTGAGTTACAAATAAGCTTTCTCCAAAATTGCTTACTCCACCTTTAATAGTTTATAGCAGCCATTTGAAAATGTTGCTCTAAAATCAGCAATTAATTTCAGGTAATAAGAAACCTCAGTCATTCATTCAGAAAATAAATAATACAAAAGACTTCCAGATGGTTCATAATGATTGTAAATATGCAATTGTGTGAGTCACCATCTTCAGGAATAAGTACATTATTTGCTCTACACTCATACTAGACTTAAAGACCTGCGTGTAAGATTTAGTGGCATCGGGCAGTGAAATTGCAGAACTGAAACTTCTCCCATGTACCAAGCGTGTAGGAGAACTATAGTGAATGCCAAACACGAGTAGCCCTATCCGGAGCCACTGTTTGGTTTGTCTGTTCTGAGCTAATGTAGAAACATGGCGGACTCAATGGAAGAGGACCCATGCCACATGTCTCATTCTAAGGTACCAAAAATACAACACCTCTTATTTTCAGGTAATTCTTAAAACTAATGAAAACATACTTACGAATATTACATACCATTTCTGCCCCTAAATCCACATACACACACTGGACCTTTAAATACAAATGCTGATCTTTACCATCAAGTGTTCAAATACAATTTTTCCTCTCTATTTCATGTTGCTCTTCTTCATCCCTTAACCTAACCTTCACCACCATCGCAGCATAGGTCACATCAGCTCTCCACTCCTGAGGCCTAGACCAGCCCACCAGTGGGTCAGCCTCATCGTTGTAAACAGGGAGGCTGCGGAACCGAGGGAAACGCTCCTGGATCTCCTGCACTGTCTGGATCTCCTGCTGTAAGATGGGTAAGGAGTAGCCTCCTCCCTGAAGGACAGAGACAGAAAGTAAGCTTCAACTAAAGTAATTCTCATTGCATCCGTTTTATAGATAATAAAGCTAATGGAGCCACTAACAAGTTTGACATAACTCAGGCAAAATTTAAATAACATCACTATCCTTAAGTTTGTTCCCAGAAATGACTATATCAACTAAACTGTGTCTAAACAATGAATGTGACAATTTTATATTATATTTGTTTGAGATATTCTTTGAGTTGTGAAAAGCCCACCTTCTTGTGCAGGGCGATGTAATCGATCCTGACCCCTGTCTCTCCAGTGAAGTAGTTGGTGCCGTTGTAGCAGTGCTGCAGCATGGCCCAGCAGTATGGTGAGTGTGGGGGGGAATGACAGGAGTCTCCTGGGCCCCCAAACCTCAGGTAACTGCTGGCAGCACGCAGACCCTCCGAACAGGCATCATAGTAGTTTAAAAACCCTGAAGAAAAAATTGTCGTACTGAAAGAACTCTCAGTCAAACCCCAAACAACTTTTACTATCTTAATACACTAATGAGGATCTGTCAGTTAAGGTACAGAAAATATATAGCATGATGCAGGTAGACAATACCGATTACTTGACAACACATTTTTATTTGTCAGTGTGGATGTACAAAGTTTCAAATAAGCATTTATCAAACGACACATATTTTGAATAAGTTATAGTAAGACAAGCATATTTATGTAAGTAAGTAACATTATATCTATGAGGTAAAGTGAGAACAAAATTGATTGGAGCAAATTTGCATGTCCTTGTACCAATGGCTACAATTTCCACTTTAAAAATAACTAATATGACATTAAAATATGATATAGGATGCATTACAGTTTACCTTGGATTGACACAGTGACATTATCAAAGTCATGGTTGTTTGGTTCATTCCATGTCTCAAAGTTCCACTGAGAGACACTACCCAGGCCATATTTGTCTGTAATTAAACAAAACACAGCAGAAATCACATTATGTACGAGCGAGCTGGATCGCAAAGTGGAGGTTAAGCTTTAAAGGTGGTTATAGGTTATGTTGAATTACACTGGAAACATTTACACATACATTTTATGGATTCTTCTGTGGGGACATTACACTTCCTAAATGGTACTGATGTACTACTACTTATGTAAAAAAACAAGCTAAAATGTTCCAAAAATGTGTGTGATTTAACTGTGAAACACAATATATATTGCCTTAATTTTTCAGAGCAAGCCCCACTAAAGCAGCTGTACAATCCAGAAAAGTGTGGTTTTAAATACTCATTTCAGCACTTTTAACAATCCTTAACACTTTTAAAGATTCAGGTTTTACTGACTATGATTGACAAAACAATGGCACTCACCGATGTACCTCTTGGCGAGGAGATAAATCAGATTTCTCCACTTGACCACTTGTGATTTGTCCTCAAAGTCAGTGAAGTAGTTAGAGACACTGCCCATCAGTTCAAAACCTGAAAAGCAGATGTGCAGGAATCAATTACAGTTCAGATATTACAGCCTCATGTCACAAGTGCAAGAGACGCCAGCAAAATCAAACTTGATTTGTAGTTTTTTTTTTTTTTCTTAAATTTTCTTACCCTTGTGCTTTAAATGTAGTTTGGAAAAGGCTATTGAAATAGCTCTGCTTTGGAATCTTAATGAAAGCATTTGGGACAACTGTGTCTCAATAATACTCATTTAACCATATTACAGTTATCTAAGAAACAATTAAAGAGCAGCCACTGAACAATTAACAAGTCATCCAATATCAGCAATGTGACAACCAGGCAAAAACATGGAAATTAGTGTGATTTATTTGCAAAGAAGAACTTTAAATATGCATCACAAACATGATGTGACATTTTCCAGCTGGAGTCATGGTACAGTACCTGGTCTGAGTCCATTAATCCACAACAGCTCTATCAGCTGGTCCAGTTTAGTGAAGTTGTAATGGGGTTGTCCTCCAATATCTCTACAACAACAACAACAACAACAACACCAGACAACACCAGACAACAGTCATTTATCATTATGAACACTCGCAAAACCAGTAACTGATAATATATGACTGTCAGACTAGACATATCCAAAATAATACTATGTGACATGTTTGCATGCAAGAGTGGCTGGAGAAGTCTCCACTTGGTAGTTCACTCACTGTGCAGTCACCAGCTCCAACATCCAGTGAATCCTGACCTGCTGGATCCCTCCATGGGGGACTGAGCCCACATAGGCCAGGTTCAGCTGCTGGTCAGTGCTCAGGTCAAACTGGTGGGCCTGAGTGTGAGGGAGCGGGGGACTAAGCACATAGAGGAGCCTCCTTTTAAACCTTGTGATGTACCAGTACACACCAGCTTGTTCATAGACTAAATAGGAAAGTGTAGCCCAATCAGACTTTGGACTGAGACATCTTATTAGTTGCCTATTGAGAAAACTATGCCAATGTCCACCTAAAAAAACTAATATTTTAAATATGCCTTAGCTTTACTAAAGGTGCTTACATGATGCGACATTATTTAATACCTATTTTTAATCGCAGAGGACTTCTGGCAGATTCGGCATGAAAATAAACTCACATTTATTTCTCAATTTCAACAAACTCTTTCATTGCTTCCTGTACACCTGTATATCTAAGCATGACGTTTATTGTGAATAAAAACAGTTTTCATTTGACCTACCAGAAACCAGTGCTTCTCCAGAAGTGTTTAAGATATCCTACTGGTTTCCCAACATCGACTGTGATGACATATGAAGTCGGTGAAGTCCCGGTGATGTTGAGAAGTAACGCAAAGACAGAAAAAGTTTTCCAATGCATGTCTGTGACCGAGCATGGCAACTCAGTATGCCGTGCTAGTGTAAATGGCTGTTGAAATGATGTGAAGTCAGTAACGAGGTCAGTTTAAAATGCCTTACATATTGTATGTGAATAATGAGAAACAGTAACTTGACACAATTCACTGTAGAAAGACTAAAACACAGCAAAATAAACGCATTTCCTCTCCTGTCGCGAGCTGCAGTCAGTCAGCTGAGCATGATGACGTTTAATGCATGCGACCTTGTTGTTGTAGTCTTTTTGGGAAGTGGAGATTGTTTTATAAATACAGCAACTTGAAAGTATCTTCGAATTACAAAAACGTGTTTATTTATTGCCATGTAAGTTAAGAAAAATACTAAATTAGAATTAGAGACATTAGTGTCTAGAATTTAATAACTTCAGTAATAAAAACGTTAATTTAGTATCAAGGAACATCCAACTGGATTTCTAAGGTAAAAGTTAACCATTTTTGGCACAACTATCACCCCAGAAAACCTGAAAATTATCAGTAAGGTAAGAGTAACTCACAAAACTGTTTAAATGTAGCTGTTTAAAGTAGCACTAATGCCTATACTACATCCTATGGATGGAATTGGCATAAACGTCATAGCTGGTAATCTAAGATGCTGTTGGGTCCAAGCCTCAATATCAGAAAGGCAACTTCTCTCTGACTTCCATCTCTGGCATCCAACAGCCAGTCAGTGTTGCAAAATGTTGGCACTTCCCTTACAGCACCAGTTAGACCAGCACCACCTGGCTGTGGCTTAATACAATATATAGCCATGAAGTTTACTTGTATAGGAAAATTAGTGATTTGTTAGTTTCTTCCAGTACACTTTTGCTCAAATAACTACCAAGGTCAAATAATACTTGTCTGGTTCCATATGACGTCAGGTTACATCAAAATTCATCAAATGTGCTACTACTGCATCAACGAAGCTTTAATAATTTCATCTGTGATAACTTCTTGGGTACAGTTAAAAGGGAAACTAAAAACCTTCTTACAGAAATAGTCATACACACAGAATTTTGACAACTGTATAATGAACAAACATGAGGAGCTGTTAATGGGACATTTATTAAAAAAAAAAGTTGGGAGAATCAAGAAGGCATGAAAGGAAAATCCATGTCATTTACAGTTGAACTCATACTGTTAAACAGCAACAGTTATACACAACCATTTACACAACCTGTACAAATATTTTTTCCCGAAAATTTGCAATTTAAATTCAAAATAACTTAAATAGGCTTCTATGTAAAAGTGCAAATCCTTATGCGTGGGATGTCTGTGAGTAAGACCATGGTGACAGAAAGGGTGCTTTGTTGAGTTCACTGGCTATTGGGTGTTAACTTGTAAGGCATCACAAGCACATTTCAATGTTTACTGACTCTACTGTCTTGAAGCACAGTCATATATAATGCTTTTAATGTACATCATCCACGCTTTTAGATACGATTGTGTAATTATGATGCCTTACACTGCATTTCAGCTTTGTTACTGAGCACGTCTTCTCATACAGATTGATATTGTAACGACAATAAAATAGTCTCAACTTTTGTGATTTGACAGAGAGCCCTTTCTCTATCGAGCACGTCCAGCCCTGAATAAAACCACTAAAAACATTACAGTTCAGTGTTTGTAGTGATGTTGTGGTGAAAGTTCAGAAAGTCAGCATTACAGCATAGCAACAATACACTGTTACCTGTTTGGTAGTGTTCTAAGTTAGCATTAAAATCACAGTTACCAGAGGCCATTCTATACAGGATGAGCCCAGATGCGGTGGGGCAGTAGTAGTCCACAGGTTTCAGGCTTTGACAGTGAGACAGTGTGTGTATTTGTGTGTGTAGAGGTGAGGGGTCGGTGATTCTGCACAGTCACAAGGCATGAGACAACAAAGAGTGGCAAACTGTTAATGCTGATACTTCTAAGTCTCTACAAGCATCCTCCTGATTGGTGAGGAGGGGAGGGGGAAAGAACTAACCCACGCACGCTATTGGGCCTTACATGCTTCTGTATTAACATGCAGCCGATGCAAAAAAAGTGTGTCATCACCATGGGAAGTGGAGGATTATACAGCATATCTGCTCATGAAGCACTGGTCACCATGAAGTTCTACTGGACAGGAAACTGGAAATGTGTTTGGTAAATAAAAAGTGTTTAGGCATTTGCAACACAAAGGAGAAAATAACGAGCATCGAGTCCGTGTATGTGAGTGTGTGTGTTGTGAAAGTAACTACGACTTCTGTTCAGCTCCTGCAGCAGCCTGGGCTGTGCTCTCTGGTTTAAGGATCTGGTAGGTGATGAGGTACTCCGGGTACGCCTGAAGGAAAAATATAGCAAGACATCAGCCAACATTAAACAGGAAGTTTTTCACGTATTTTTTCTTGTGTTCAGCCTAAACAGGATTTAGGGAAATAAACTTTCCACACATTGGTTTTTGTGTTTACCTGCTCTCCTCTGTAGATGACGTACTCAGCGTAGGCCAGGCCGTTAACACTGGGTCGCCCAATCACTGAGTGGTGTCCTGGGGGGGCGTGGGCCATCTTCATGGCACTGAACTGTAGGAAGGACTTCCCTAGGGTCACTCGGCAAAACAGCATCTGCCTAAGAGGGCAGGGAAGAAGAGGAACCAGGTCAGACACAAGTGTCCCACAATACTGTATATGACACCTTTACTTTGATTAAGAAAAAATAGGTACAAAGTAAAGATGTACCAGTTTATCAGCTGAACAGTAGTAACGGCTATTGACAAATAAAGTGGCAGAGGCCAATGTTTTTCTGTTGTATTACATCGATTTTGCTCAGACTAAAAAGCAGGGCTCAAGGCTGCCCTAAACTCTCTATCAATGCATCAGACAACGCGCCCTAATGTTTCTCTGATGATGTTACATTGTGAACAACAAATCGGTGTTAAAATCAGCAGGAAGAGAGCTAGTTGACGTTAGCTCAAAGCAGCCAGCGCCCCGAACTAACTGCTGGCGGAGGTTAGTTACGATATGATGCGTTCAAGCTCTCTTCAGTAAAATGAGTCATGGGTAGGTAAATTGTAATGCTCTCATGTGGTGTTTAAATGAAATCATGTAAAAAGTTTTTTTTTGTTTTTTTGGGCGAGAAACTTGAGCAGATACAGTTGTTTGAAGGAGAAATTTGTTGTCATCTTCACAGCAATATAAAACAGATATTAGAGAGGGGATTACCATATATTACATTTAGTAAAAAGGCTTTTGAGGCAGTCGTTCAAAAAAGTTTTCCATGAAAGAAGGTTATTTTAAAGGTTGTTTCATAATTGTATATGATTGAGTGTATGCTCATTCAAAGATTCAAAGAAGTACAATGGAGGTTTTACTTTAAAACAGTTCACTTGTTTTTTTTTAATAATGAAGATTTCTTTGTTTCCCTGGCACAGGAGGAGAAATAAATAAAAACAAAACAAAACCCCACCAGTATCAGCTACAGGCCAAATTGTTATTTTGAACATAGGTTATCAGCCCAGATTTTCGCAATCCTTGCATCCCTTGTACAAAGTAGTTTTACAACCTGAGCATCTTTTAGTGTTTGGGTTTGAAACTGCAGTTAAACTTTGATAGTCATGTTTGATGTCAAGTCACAGTTACCTGTGGCACAGGTAGCAGGATCGGTCTTTGTGCGTCGGGCAGCCTGTGCCTCCACCGATGCCGTAGACATACTGATTGCTCTTTGACGAGTTCTCTGCAAAGTAGATACCTGCTCCAAACATCCCTCCTATGTAAGCGTGGCGCTCATCGAAGCCTTTGTGAATGATGGCGTTGATGAATGGGGAACCTGAAGGAAGACGTGACGACAGTGACAGAATATTATATATAGTAACTGCCATGCAGTGTTTTACATGATTACAAGTACATGCCTGTCAGAGTAAGAAACTAAAGCCTGTAGAATCTTTAAATAACAACTCAAAATAGACAAACAACGTCCAGTGCTGAAATAAAGCAAACAGATGGTGGTGTGGTTACCGTGAAACAACATCCGCTCATTGTGATGGTTGTGATTCTCATCTGCGATTTCCTTCTGTCTGTGGGTGTAACGTTCTCTCAGCTTCTTATTTACCACCTTCTGAATCTGTGGGGCAAAACATGACACATATCACACAAGATGTCAAGTCTGCTTTACCATAAGAGACAAATGCTTACTCACATCCATCAGGTCAGATCACTGTTATCAATTTTCATTAATACCAAAGAAACAGTTCCTATAAAAGCTGTTCAGTGTTGTGTGGGTTATCAAAACAGACAGTGCAGAGAGATTCCTGGTTCAGACCTTGATGATGTTATATCTGCTGAACACACCACCAGCGTTGCCTCCATCTCTGTGCTCTCTGATGGTGCTTTGCAACTGAGAGACACACAACGAAACATATATCATTATAAACTGTTAATAAACTATTGCTTTCCATGAGCATATTTTTGCTGTTGCTTCTCAGTTTATTAATTGAGGGTTTTTACCAGCCATGTGGAGCAGCTGCACTAAGCACCCGCATTGGATCTACACATTTTGCTACAATACAATTATTTAAAGTGCCTTTATGTAGGAGTTCTATGCAAACCGCTATAGACAGTCATAGCAAAAAAGCATTTGCATAGTTATTCAGAACCTGTTTAAAATCCAAAATTCTGACGACTGCCAGAAAAATACTGATCACAGAAGTTAAAACATACCCTAACTAAAGACAACAGACTGGACTCACCTCTTCCTCCACTGACTGGTATTCCTTGTCATCTGGTGCCAGGTCTATCAGGATGGTGCCCTGGCTGGCACAATGGAATGTCAGGTAGGGGTTACCACCTGAAAAACCACAATACAGTTAATCATTGACTCTCCAGTTTTCACTTGTAAGGCATCACAAGAACATAGGTTTTCCCTGTGGAGTGCCACCTTTTTCCTGACTTTGCTTTTGGGTTTAAAAATGTTTCATTTTAGAGTTAAATAACTGACTGTTGCAGACAACACAGCATGTTACCATTCCTCTGTGATTCTTAAGAGAGAAACATTAGATGCCTCCTTACCCTGCTGGCCGCCCAGCAGCCTCTCAACACCCTTGATAAGCTTGTGTCGGTGGCCATAGGCATTAATTCCAATCTCCTTCAGCTCCTCGTGACCCATGTCAGCCAGCACATCCAGAGTGATCTGGAAGAAGGAAATAATATGGCAAGTCGAGAGGTTTATACCAATCACTAAAATCAACTCAGTATTGTGCTGTTGGTCTGTTTGCTCCAACTACCAACTACTTAAACAACCAGACTACAGAGTAGTACAGAGCTATTCTATGATCGGATTAGGATCGACTGAATGACAGATATCAAACACAACTACCGCATGAGTGTATTGAGTGTTTCTAAGATAGCTGACCTGCTCCCTCTCAAAGATGTCCCTCAGGTGCTCCAGGCCCAGGCTCTTCATAAATTGACTTATATTCATGTCCAGCATGGTCACTATGGAAAACAGGGTGTTGAGAGTTACATGAAAAATAATTCACCAATGTCACACACTCACATTTTCCTTATAAAAACAAAACAAAAACAAAAACAAAGTTTACACCTTTAGATCAGTATTCAATATAATAAAATAAACTTACTCTCCCCTTCCTTGCGGTCAGTGCCTGTGGCTCCATCTGCCACTCCCGAGGACCCAGAGGCAGCGGCAGCAGCCAGCTCAGTGAGCGGTCCGGCTAAATTGTCTATGCTGCTGGCGGCCGACAGACAGGATGGTGTGGAGGCAGGGGAAATGACTGAGGCGCTGACCACTGTGGCCTGGGGCTTAAAGCAGCTAGGCAGGGCGTCTGGTGGCATGGCGTCCATCAGCAGGGCCCTGATATCATCAGCCTGCAAGGATAGCCAAGAAAAACTAGCTTGAAAGGAGCCCGATTTAAGTTAATTTATTCTACATTCTCTTTTCTATTATTCCACTAAAGTGAACAGTTTGGGGCCCTCAATGACCTCAAAAACAAGAGAACTACTAAGTGAAAAGATGTTATGATGTGCTGTAATATACATCATCTGCCCACCCCTTATATTGGCCTAAAAAATAATTTCACAGTAGCTTTTACCGTGGCCAGGTCCAGGGCAGTCTGGCCCTCCTGGTTCTTCATTGTGGGGTCGGCTCCATGAGCCAGCAGCAGCGCACAAAGCTGTGTACGACCCTTTTGGGCTGCCTCATGGAGGGGTGTGAAAGCCCATTTGTCTGTAGCATTCACACACGTATTGTACTTGATCAGTAGAGCTGCAATGTCCACATGCTGTGAGCAAGAGAGGAGTTTAAGAGTTTAAGTCAGTGTTGTACTTTGAACCACAAAAAAGATGAAACTGAAGTTGAATAAAACAGACAATTAACTGTTTTCCTTATAAATCTTGTTGGTTAGTTAGTTTCTAGTAGCTTTAGGAAGTTTCAATGTATAAATCAAATCCCACAGGAACTGTATTTGATTAAGTAATGGGTTTGTGTATATGTTGTAGAGACTGACCCCATAAGAAGCAGCATTATGAAGAGGGATAAGGCCTCCTTTGTCCTGGGCATTGACATCAGCTCCATGCTCCAGCAGATATTCTGCCACCTCAAGGTTGTTGTACCCAGCTGAGGAGAAGCATGAGGAATCACAGCATGTAAATGTACTTTTATTCTTTAACACTCTGCATAAGTACAGCATTTAAACTCCTCTTTTTAGAACACCCAAAGCTCAGCAATAAAAAAACATAGCTAGATAAAACTAAAGCACATACAGCATCAGTGATGATGTTGAAAGCTTTTAACTTTCCACACTTTCCAAGAGGAAACTAGATAAAAGATCAAAAACTTTTCACATCAGGATTGTGTTAGTACCAGAACCCTGTCAAAGCAGCTAGTATTGATACCTGCGAGGTGGAGTGGTGTGGAGTTGCGTCCCTGTGTGTCTCTGCAGTTGATGTTCTCAGGGGAGCAGAGTTTTTGGACTCGGGCCAGGCAGCCCTTCTTGGCAGCGTCCAGTAGGGCTGCATCACCCCTAAGCAGGTCCTGGATGTCTGTGTCTCCATCTTTCACCATGTCCAGTGGCATGTTGCCATCACGGTTCTTCTTGGATGGGTCCGCTCCATGCTGAACAAAAGAGTTCAAGTTTTTTTTTTTGTACATTATTTTACATAGATGTTTAGTATATAAGACTGTGTGGCTTCATGGTGAAATGATATATTCCCCCTCATGATCATCAACCAACATAATAACTAACACAGGACACAAATCCATGTAAGTAATGCACGTGACAGATCCTCACTTTGAGCAGCAGTTTGCAGATCTCATATTTGCCTTTGGCTGCAGCCTCGTGAAGCGGGGTGAATTTCCACAGGTCGGCTACATTGACTGAAGCTCCGTGTCTGACCAGCAGCTCAGCCACTTCATAGTGACCGTAGGAGCATGCATTGTGGAGTGGAACCAGACCGCTGGTGGAGTGAGAAACACAAGTGAAAAACTTCACATTAGAGGCATGTATGCCATCTTTGTACTTCTGTCTACTGCAAAAACTCTTAAACATGAAGAAATTAAAATGTTGGATTATGTCACTCTCATACACTGTTTGGCTTTCTACTTTTATATTGCCTTTGGGGAATCTTGCTTCTGCTTTACTTTGTTTGTCAAAGCACTTTATAAACTCTGTTTTTAAAAATGTGCTATATAAATGGTTCTTTACTTCACAGAAAACAAAAAAAGGTTCCAAAACTCTAAACATACTTGATTCATTTATTCCATTTTTATATAACCCACAGATGGGTAAGATGACAGTTTAAAAACTCACCCCTTGTCTTTGGCATGGACATCAGCTCCATGGTGTAACAGGTATTCAACGACAGCCACTCGGTTGTAACCAGCTGCAAAATGGAGAGGAGTAGAGTGGCGGCCCTCCAGGTCTCTGCAGTTTACATTCTGGGGAGTGCAAAGTTGCTGCCAAACAAAGAGACAGTATGATAATTAGCAACTCAACTGAGTGGCATAATAACAGGTTTACAAGACAATTAAAATGGTGCCTTCACTGTTATTTGTAAAGCATTGCTGCTTTTATGAGTGTGTGAAATGTCTGTGTTGCAAATTCTTCAAGATAACAAAAAACAGCCCCAGTATACAATGATTTTATTATAACAATGCATCTCTGTGTAGCAATGTTTGCTGCTACCAAATTTCCAACTGAAAATAGTCTCCAATTAAACAAACAAACAAACAAACAAGACAAACGAGGTACCACTTCTAAAACCTAGTACAAACACTACAGGACAAACAGTGAACTTACTTGCACTGTATCCAGATCCCCTGCTTTGGCTGCCTCCAGAAATCTGTAGTCTACGTCAGAATTACGTGTGGGAACATTTTCTGGAATAAAAAAAATAAAAAAATAAAAATAAATTATACGAAATCACATCACAACTATTTAAAACTGGTAGATCTGATGACAGATTTATTAAAGAGCCTTGCAACAAATCAATTAATCCGAGCACTGAAATTCACTCAAGAGATATGTTTACTTCAGACTACAAAATCTGCCTTAGCTTGGGCGAGGATATGAAATATTGTTTAAGTGCATTTTCATTCTCGAAATTTAAAAAAAGTTAAACATTTACAAGCATGGTGAGTGCAATTACCATTAAGAATCTGTTGCACGGCCTCGTTACCCATCTGGGCAGCAGTGAAACCCTGCAGGGACACGATGGAGGGGTCGGCTCCGTAACTCAGCAGCAGCTTGCAGGTCTGAATGTGACCAGCCAGCGCAGCTCTGTGAAGAGCCGTCTGACCTAATGTGTCCACAGCATTAACCTGGAGTTAGAGAAGGTGAAGTTTCAGCAGCACATACTTTTAATCCTCCCAGATGACTTTAATATCATTTTATATTGATGGAACAGAAGAGAAATGTAAAAACAAAACAGACAGACCTTGGCTCCATGTTTCTGCAGCACTTCTAGGATATCGTTGTGAGCTCTCTCAGCAGCAACGTGCAACGGTGTCATGAAGCTGAAAGACACAATGGACAGGAAGTTAAAACCGTTTCTGCCACTATTTCTTTTCTTCTGAGCACTTAAATGTGTGTTCAACGTGCAGTTAACCTTTCTTTTTTTTTTTAATTAGTTTTTTTTGTTTTTTCTATGTGGGAGACATCATCTTCTCACCTACAAACACAAGTTACACAAGCCTGACTGTAAAGTCTCTAATTAATTTTAGTTGATTTATTTGGTTGTTTGTTTGTTAGACAGGCAAGTCTAGTGTGAAATGGGGAAAGAGGATGACATGCAGCTGCAGAACAGACTAAGCCTTTGTACGTGGGGCGACCACTTTACCAGGTAAGCTAGTGGGCATCCCTAGTTTTTCAGTTTTAAATAAACATAACATATAGAAATTGAACATTGTGGACTTACTCTTTGTTCTTCTCGTTGATGTTGGCACCTTTACGCAGCAACAACTCAGTCACCTGCTTCCTCTTGGGATGGGGAGAAGCCACAGCACAGTGCTAAAATACACAATATAAGATTAGTGCACTGGAATATTGACCTGCCAGCCTAGGACAAATGTTTTGATCTAAACCAACAGCAAATCAAATACAACTAACTCGTTGTACATCATTAATCATACAGATCATTGCTGGTAAGATAACTTTTAATTCATCAGGTGAAGTTTATTTAGATTCAAGATCAGAATGAGCTCCATCAGACCCTCAGCCTCAACTATGAGTAGTAAGACTTGATTCTGACCAGAGCTGTCTCGTTGGTCTGAGGATGTTTGAAGCTGATGATCTCCAGAGCAAGCGTCTTCTTCACTTTGGCCATGTCTGCCTCCCGGGCTGCCTGCAGCAGCGAGTGACCTTTGAACTCATCTATGCATGGAAGAAGGGGTAGTAAATGTAAAATAAAATTTCTTGACTACCAACAGCTTAAGCACCAAACCTATAATATATATTGTGCGAGTAAAAGACTATCATCATTGTGTTTATACATGTCTGCTGTGTGAATGACAAATAACTTACAGGTGAGTCTTTCTTTAAGCTCTGGAGTGGGGGCCATGTCCACAGCGCTCTTGCTGTGACAGTTCAGCAGGGTGGGGTCGGCTCCGTGGCTCAGCAGTAAAGAACAGACCTCCACTCGGTTCTTGGACGCTGCCTCGTGGAGAGGAGTGAATTGCCACAAGTCCATGGCGTTCACACAGGCTCCGTGCTGTAGAGAGAACAGCACGTCAGAGCACAGAATGTGTGCAGAGGGTTTGCTTCCCAGATTTCAGTACTTCACATAATAAAAACACATCTAAAAATGTGATTTAAGTGAATCGTTGTAATCCCTAGCTCCTTATTCTTTGTTTACTAGTCTTTACTAGTAACACATGCCAGCAAACTGACAGGACAGGATTTCCAATAACATACACTCACAGCTAAGCACTGGGATGACTTGCTTTCACTGCCAAAATCTCATCATCCAAGCGTTAACTCTTAAAATTAGACTGTTTATGTGTGCACATATATGCTGTCACATGTTCAATGATGTCTCAACACAGGCAACTTTGAACCCGAAACCTTCTGTGGGTCTTACTTTAAGCAGAAGCTCAGTGACCTCGAAGTGGCCGTAGGAGCAGGCGTTGTGAAGGGGAACCAAGCCACTGCAGGGAAAAGACACTCAGTTTAGTGTCATGAATTAGAAATGGAAAACAGACAAAGTGTTGGTGTGTTTCTTCTGAAAGTGTCTCACCCTTTGTCCTTGGCGTGCACATCAGCTCCATGCTGGAGAAGGAGCTGGACGATGCGGACCCGGTTGTAACCGGCAGCCAGGTGGAGGGGCGTCGACTGTAAGAGAAGATGACTTGTTAGCACATGCAGATCGCTGACTGGTTCAGTGTGTGCTGCCTTCGATGGCCACAGGAGCAAGCGGCTGATTAGGGCCAGAAGCATTGTGCTACGGCAGGCTATGCTCGGTGAGTTGCAGATGAATGGTGGATATGATGATGCAAGGTCAATGGAGTTTGTGGGCAAATCCAGCAACAAAAATTAATTTGCCGTCGATACTGTGTCTGACCTGAGTGAGTGACAACAAGCAACTTCAACCTTAATACTCATCTACCTCCACTGCAATTTGACAATGCCAGCAAAATAAAATATTCTTCTTTAGTCTGGGGAGTTAAAATTAAATTTTATAAGGTTAGATGGCAAGAAAAAATGGCTAGTGCAACTGTTAGACTATTAAATTCATATTGGTTGCGCAGGAATTACGGTTGGGTGATGATAGTTTGTTCCTTGATTTGTTAAGTCCTCTCTTTTCTGTTAGAATATGGGGCATTCAGGTAGTCATTTAGCCAAATAGAAACACAATGTGGCAAAATGCTACTTTTCTAAATGCTTATCGTTGAGTTTTGTTTACTAAATATTCAATTATTTCGAAGTGCCTTTACTTAAAAGGCTAAACCTGTGGCAAATACAATGGATTCAGATTTGATAAAATGCTATCAAATCCCAACCGTAATAGGATGCAAGGAAGCTACAATAAGCAGGCTGAGTGTTTGAAAAAGCACCTCTGCAAGCTATTAGAGGATCAAATCAAATGGCCTTTTTCAGCCAAGGGAAAACAACTGTTAGTCTAAGCAAAGCTGCAAATTCAACTTCAGTGGCATTTATTCTCTACTCAAAAGTCTAGCTCAGGTCAAGCTTACAATCAAAAAGGGGGGACGTATCATTCATTTCAATTTCCATGCAGTGATACTAATATAAATCCTAAAAAGCCAACAGTTAGATCTCAAGCCACAGTGATTAAAATCAGATGGACGAGAGTTAAATCATTGAGGCATCGTTCAGAGTGGGATGACACGAGCAATCAAAAGCAATCCAAAGTCATTACCATGGAGGGTAGCATAGCACTTAAATGACAGGCGAGCAATGTAGTCCATTCATTACTGCATACCAACTGTTCCAACAGGGAACGTGATGTAGACACAAATTTCACAGACACATATTCAGGATTCGCTTAACAAAATGCACAGGGCAGGCCTTCAGGCATGCATGAGTGATCATCGAAAATAAATTAATATGAGTAAAATAAAAGCCAAATCAGATACTGACTGAAGAGCAAGTGATTGAAAGTTGGAGAAGTGTGGGTGAGTGTGCAAGGACAGGACAGACGCTGAAGAAAGCAGGCAGCGGACATTGTGAACTCCTCTCCAAATCCAAAAAAGATGAGTCGTCACCATGACACCAACCCAACTCGCTCACTCCCTCAATCACATGCCACTTACACACACACAAACACGCACACACACAGAGGAGCATCAGGGTAAGGATACATGAGTGACCCGTACACCCAGGTCCATGATGTGCAATTAACAAGTGACAGCCAGCTTATTGGTCAAATAAAACAATGGATTAAAAAGAAATCACAACAGTGCATCAATCAAGTGGCCGTTATCAAGGTCAACTTACCAGCATTTTTTGGGATGTTGACTGATCGACAAATGTTGCCAGAGTCACACGGAAAACAAAACGAAACAAAAATTACAAAATGACAGTATCTTTTTTCACAGCAATTCTTCTCTTCCTTCTCAAGTCAATGAAACACAAGCCCTGGTTATTAATCACCTTTTGATGCGTCAAACATGGTTTGAGATTAAATGTGACACTTAGGCCAGGGAGTAAGTGGCTGAAGGGAAAGTGTGACTTCTCCTCCTTGGTTTTCTCTGTGTCTTTGTGAAAAGGCAAGGATTGGTGAATGGTGCCTGCTGGTTAAATCTCAGACCAAATCTACACTGGCGTACTGGCTCGGATCATGAAACTCTAAATGCTACTATGAAAGAGGCAGGGAAGGAGTAATACTTTAACTGCTGTGGAAGAAAATGACGTTAGGAATAAATGCAATAGGCAAGTGCTGATATACTGTTAGTCACATGGATTTTTAAGGCATATTGGTGTTGCTGATAATGCTTTCTGTGAGTTATTTACATAAGTAAGATAACTATTCTGCCAGATATGACAGGAAATACTTCAATTATTTCTTAAAAAAACAAATATACATGATGGACAAAGACAGTGGAAGTACGTATATCAGTGCCTGACATGACGGGGGAATAAAATGCAATTAGCAATGCTAAATGCTGACTTGAGAAAATACGGGCAAGTGCATTCCTCCCTCACAAAGAGGAAAAAGATAAATAAAAACTCCATAAAATTAAGGCCTAAAATACAGTTTCATGATTTAAACACTGCTTACATTATCAACAAGTTCCAATAACATGGACTGAGTTCAGAGGAGACACTAGATATTACACAGAAATAAACCTACATAGACTTCAAGATCACAACTAGCCTTGCTCCAGCATCTGGCATGGAAAAATGATTATGGGGAAGAAGAGACAATGATGCTGTCGAGACACCTGAACCAAACATGTTGAAAAATGATTAACAAAAACACTAAACTGTAAAGAAAAGGAATGGGTTGTGTACTTAAGTTCCAGAAAATGAATGTAGACTCAACTAGCCTGACTAACTGGATCGGACTGTTGCTGGTTTTCATGGTGAAAAAACACCTGATGGGTGACCACACACACACACACACACACACACACACACACACACACACAATCACAAAACCTGAACTGAAAACTTAAAAGCTGAACCTAGAGGATTAATGAAGTTGGTGAAATGAAAGTCAAGATATTATAACAGGAGCCAATGGACTCCAAGGATGGTCTGAGGAGAATCACACATGCATAATTACACAGAGGATTGTCCGAAGCAAGGTGGTCCCCATTAACACCTAATCACATAAATCCTCTTTGCGTCTGCACCACACACAATAACCCCGCCATAATAAAATGGTTAATACCTTTCCTCATACATCATTAAACTCAGAAACCTCACTGTTATTTTTTGCCAAGAACTTTTAAAATATGATAAAATGTTTGCACAACATGTTGTATGGTGCGGTACTAGTGGCTCATTTACCTTGCGGCCATCACTGGCATGGCAGTTAACATTTAATGGAGTCAGCAATGCCATCAGCTTTTCTTCATTTCCACTCCTGTAATTACATGGTTGGAAAGACTTGTGTCATTAAATATTTCCCATGAACATCAGTATTCACTGTGCTTTTAATGGAGATTCAATAATCTAAAAGTAATTCTGCAGACTTTAACAGATGGTAAGACTACAAACTACTTCTTGAGCTGGTCAGATTAAAAGTTGTAGATCTCGTGTACATTGCAGATGTATACTCTGATGAACAGAAACTACATAGCTGTTTGGACAACAAGAATACTGACCAGTCAGATGGATACTCACCTTGCTGCTTCCAGAAGTTCGTCCTTCTTGTATTCACCTTAATTAAAATAATCATATAGATTAGCAGTAGGCATGCAAAACACTTTCCTTAAAGTTTAGCCTGTGGTGTAACTATTTGTGGTATGTAAGCTATTACTGCACGTTTATTTGGAAAATGGTTACACTCTGTGGTTTGTGTAGAGAACTACCAGAATTAAGTTTACCAGTTTGTACTCTTAGTACAGGTGGAATAGTTGGGGTATAAGTAAAGAGAAGACACACTAAAGGCTGTTGACAAAGTACCCTTCTGAACTTTACAAGGGACAGTATCACGTGTATCTTCTCTTGTGGGAATGCAGTCCATCTAACTTCACATTTTGACTTATGGTCACATTTCAGCAGCTTTATTTAGTCCTGTATTCATATGTCACTTGCTGTAAAAGCGAGGGCAATGCAAATGTAAGAGATAAGCAGATGAGAGGGACTGACCAGTGAGAACAGCCTTGGCTGAAGGGTCGGCAAGATCCAAAGCAGATTTTCCATCAGTGTTGCGGATGTTTGGATCAGCTCCGTGTTGGAGTAACACTGAGTGGGCGAGGAACAGATAAAGACAAGACTTTAATTTTCTCCCTGAAACATTCCCATGTTGCCTCACCCAGTACACTCATCATGTTTTAATACAGCTAAGTTGGTTACAGCAAAGAGGTTGACACAACTTCAACACAACACAATCCCGTCAAACTTTTCAAGGCAAAATTACATCTAATGACACATAAGACTAGACAGGTCTTCAGAAACATCACAGGTGTGCCTGTGCTTTAACATAATCTACAGTCATCCTTACCAATGCAAACATCTATCTTCCCCTTGATGGCAGCCTCGTGTAACGGTGTGTAGTTCCAGTTATCTCTGGCATTGGGGTCTGCACCCTGACACAAGAGGAGGCTGACAACTTCTGCGTGGCCGAAAGAGCAGGCATTGTGCAGGGGGATTAGTCCTCCATCATCCCTGGCGTGAACATTGGCCCCTGTCTGCAAAAGGTGCTCCACCACATCTTTTCTGCCAAAACCTGAAAGAGGATTAAAATGCATTTCAATTGAGCTTTTCCGCAATACTGGGTTAGAAGTGGTGCACTAACTAGCCTGCCAATACCATCTATAACTGTTCAAAAATACTCATAACTGTAGGATTCAGATCCTACAAGACTTAATTTCTACTATTAAGTTATAGGATATTATCTTTGGTGACGCACTGAAACATCAGTGTAGATACCTCCCAGCCACGATTCACATGACAGCAGGCACTACATTCATTTTGTTGAGAACTTGTGCTACAGTAAAGATAACTGCACATATGTAACGTAAACTCGCAATGTGTTGCAATTTAACCTCAAATAACATTTCCGTAAAAGTAACAGTAGCTAAATCAGAGGGCGTTTTGTGTTGTCTTGCTCTATGTTGTGAAGGTTTAGCTAAATTCGTCAGATGTTTACGGATTGTTTATCAAACTAAACACAGCGTCACATTAGCTAGTTAGCAACACTACGGTGTTAATTCATACCAGATGGATTTTCTTTTGACCTTATCAGGAGAGCAAACCACCAAAAACAACGTTTAAAGTGAACACGTCGACCAAAATACATTAGCAAGCTAGCCGTCTCAGTATGATAGCTAATGTTTAACAACATAACGCTGCTGTAGCGCTAGCTTAGCTAATCGTTACCCGCAGCGAAGTGAAGGGGAGTTGATTTTCGACCAGCCATGTCCTTCGCGTTTACATTCACCGAGTCGACAAGTCTCTTTACTCTAGATACGTCTCCGTTACGACAGGCCTCGAACAACTCCCTGAACGCCCCGCCGATGCCGCTGCTACCGTCAGTGGGACTGGCAGCTCCGGAGCCTGGGCTTGATACGCTGCTGCTGCCGCCGCCAGAGGTTGTCGTGGTGAAGCTTGCGCTGCTCGCTAGGACCGGGGCGGTCAGGTCTGGGGAGGCCAGAGCCATCTCGATCCCTCCGCTGCATTCCCTCTCATTCTCCGGGGGTCCGACAGCCGAGGTCAGCAGAGCCATCGGCGGAGAGGCCGGAGGAGCGCCCGACAGAGAGCTGTTTCTTGGCGGAGACTGTAATGTATTCTGCTGTTGTTGCTGCTGCGAAGAGCGACGAGACACCGCCATTACAGCAGCTCTCAGGCGACAATAAAAGCAGCTCCTCCTTTCCGGTGAAAGTGGTTGCGTTTCCTGTCAGCTGTTTACTCTCAGTGGAGGCTGGCTGCGGATGAACACTTGATTTCCTTTATAATTTATTTACACGACCATTTGGATCTCAGAAATCCAGAAGACCTACAACAGACAAAGTTTTCTGCCAGCACTGTGAGCAAATGTCTGTCACAATTCAAACAAAAATAATACTGGTCAGCCAGTTGGTGGCAGTATGATATATGCACGTTTGCATTTTTAGCCTAAATATTTCCCCATTGCCTCAGAAATAATAAAAACACAAGCAATTTATAGCTTAATCATGGTGATACGCTGGCTATTTAATAAATAAACCAAATAATAATAACAAACCAAATTGTGTAAGAATGATGATGGGAAATACATCATGGTGCATGGACAGAGATTATAGTTTTTTATTTCGTGACATACAGCAGCTTAATTTGCATTTTTCTGTTCTTGAAGGGAAAGACCAGAATTTTTGGAGTGGGGCTGTCTGGGGTACTTACCCATCGACAGCATATTTTATACAATAAATGCCAGTCCGCAGGCTCCCAGTTTGGAAAAGCAGGTTGGATCCTGACATGGAAGCCAAGCAAAGTACTGCTGTGGATGGGGGCAGCAGTAAAGTACATTTCAGACACCTAAAAATACATTATCAGTTTAAGTGTACGCTATATTAAGAGTATTTTCCCTGCTTTACCCTAATGTCAGACAGTGATTTCCAACAGGAAAATGAAGCTGTTACTTTGTTCTCTTCAAAGCCAGACTCCATTGAGAAAAACAGTAATTTAACTTCGTTGAGCACGGGAGCTGCTGGTCTACCTCTGCCTCAATATGTTATTGTATTTGTGTTATTGTGTGACTTAAGCATTAAAAAGGGTTAATCCAGATTCACTTAAGTCACACACTAACATAACTAACAAACAGACTGAGGCATAGGTAGACCAGCAGCTCCTGTGTTCAGCGAGTGAAAATTAACTGGTTTTGTCAATGAAGTCTGGTGGCTTTGATGAGAGCATAGATGGGGAACTAAAGCTGTTTACTGCTTCCCTATTGAGGCGAGCTGTGATGGAAGGGAAAAGCGATGAAAATATGTTTTGTTGTTGCCCACCATCCACAGCAGTACATTGCTTAGCTTACATGTCAGACTCCAGCCGGCTTTTAAAAACTGGGGGAATGCCGACTTTACATTTACTTACTTTTACTGTATGTAATACACTTGACTATGGATAAGTACCCTATACAACCCCATTAAAAAAATTCAAACTATCCCTTTAAAGGCTGCCTAACAGTTGACAGAGCTCTGTGCTTCTTTGACTGATTTAGGTAGTGAAATGAGCAATTAATGACTGTTTGGGTATCACACTTCTATGACTATTTATTGTGTACATATCCTCTCTTCTTTTTAACCTTTATTTTAGGATTTTCAATACAAAACAAATGCTCAGCACATCACTAACAACTCAGTCACTCTTTCTTCATAGGTAGAAAAACAAAAAAAACAAGTCCAAGGACTTCAACATGACTAGTAAAATAAAATACATATACACAGTGATAGAGAGGTATACTGCCATTCAGTTAGACCATTACACTACCCCTGAGATACTCAAGTACAGGGCTCAACATTTTGACAAATATTTTAATCTTATTCTTATTAGAGAACTTTAACCTTTCTAAATACAATACATTTAGATAATATCTGCTTATCATATGTTCGTGCACTGTCTGACTTCCACTTAAATGTAGAATGTTTCCTAGCCACAACCACACCAATTGAAATGGCCTGATTTTTCATACTTGTATGCCAAAGGCAACACACTCGTGGCTCCTGGGACAGCAACTAGTTAGTTAGGTTCCCAGTTCTTCTCAATGGCATTAGAAAAACATTCAAATATACTCTTCCAACAACTGACTAATTTCTGACAAGTCTAAAGAGTGTTAATGTCCCATCTGCCTCTTTACACCAACTGCAGAGGGGGAAAACATCAGGGAAAATCTTATGCATCCTGTCTTAGTAGTATAGCCAAGGCACTGTTTTAAAATTAATCTAATTGTGTCTAGAGTTAACTGAACATTTATGCACACTTTCAAGACTCCTCCCAAATCTCATTGTCTATCTCTTCACCCAACTCACTCTCCCAAGTCTGCTTAAATGCATTTGTATTGACATCAGTATGTCTTTGTATAAGCTGATAAAAGTAGGAAACCGCTCCCTTACAAGGATTAAAGTTGAGAAAAAAAATTAGACACATTTTTCCTCATAAAATCACGGATTTGCAAGTACTTGAAAAAATTGGAACTGGGATATTATATGCTCTCTGCAACTGTTGAAACGATCGTGCCCATCAAGGTATAGAGCACCTATGTCTTTGATACCTTTAAGAGTCCACTCTGTGAAAACTGAATCATTTCAGCTGGTGACAAACCAGTGTTTTGGTGTTTTATGTGTAATTTGATTTGCTTCCAGATTTAAAAATGAAAATGAAAACTATTACTGTAATGTAACTTTGTTTTAGCAGGGCTGTTAAGAAGGGCAAAAAAACAGGTCTTATTACAAAGAACGCGCTCTAGTGATAGCCAATCGATAGCATTTATTTTCCCCAGCCAAAGAAATATGGAGAGTTTTCCAGAATTCTTTGTTTTGCTTTAACTGGGCAATGTTTTTCTGCCAGTGAACCGATAGAAGGTCCTCTGTTTTTTTTTTAAGTGAAGCTGCTGTAGGTTTTTTTGAAAGTAATAGTTTGCAGACATTGCTCATTAACATTTGCAGAAATGGGCATCAACTCACTTTTTTCCCAGTTGATTACAAATCCTGAAATCACGCTGAAGCTATTAATAAGTGAGAGCAATGGAGGTTTTGGTATCTCTGGGCTTGACAGATACAAGAGGATATCATCCGCAAAAAGGGAAAGATGTGGAATCCTGTGACGCTCTATTGGAGTTATTTCAGGGCTCTGTCTAATACTAATTGCTAGTGGCTCCACCATTAATGCAAATAAAAGAGGGGAAAGGGGGCAGCCCTATCTAGTTCCCCAATGTATCTCAAAGGGGTGTAAGATGCAACAGGGTGTGAATAAATCACTTCTATTTTTTTAAATGAGGGTCCAAAACCAAATTCTTCCAGTATATATAACATATACTGCCATTCAACCTGGTCAAAGGCACGCTTGGCATCCAATTATATAATTGCAGCTTTTGGTATGCCTTTCCCATATAGAATATTAAACAGACGATGCAAGTTGAACAATATGTGCCTCCCCAGCATAAATCCAGTTTGAGCCGGATGTATAATGGTATAAATAAACGTTTTGAATCTGTTGGCTAATATCTTTCCAATTATTTTAGTCTCTTTGAGGAACGAGATAGTAGTGTGCTCAAGGACTGGTCTCGCTGTATGGCCTATCTTTCCTATTCCTCCTCTTCGTTATCGGACATCAGGAGCTCCGAGTTGGCCGACTCTTCGCCATCATTGTCTGCATCTCCTTCAAGGATCGCACGGGCAGCAGCGAAGCCCAAGCATCCTTCGTCTGCGTCTTGCGATGGGAAAACGGGGGCAGAAGCAGGGGGTCTGGTGCCTCTGCCCACCTCAGTCCAGGTGTAGTGTCCAAGCCTGTGGACACACAAGTGGGTCTCCCTCAGACAAGCTAGTCTGGCGGGCTAGCCTGCGGTGAAGCAGTTTACGGGGGGAAACAGCGCAGTGGATACACTCGTCGGTGGATGTAAGGCAGCCTGAGTGGAGTCCCACCTAGAAATTTTATTGCCACAGGGACAAAGCTTTGGGCTTTTCATGACTTCACTGGGGGTGTTTAATGTAGCCATGGTGAGCTAGCAAGCTTGTTGACGCTAGTGAAATCACAAATTTGCTTACTAGCTTGTGCAGCTACTGGGCAAAAAGGAGGGAAAATATCGCTATTTTCTCCGCTAGTGCAGTGATACTTTCCTCCAGGTATTGCTATCCAATGTGAAGGTATTGATAGCGCTACCTGTTAGGAGGTATTTTGCTACCTCTCGGAATTGCTAATGTAACCTGTTTTAACAAAAGTGTTGCTACTTGTATTGCCTAGCTCCAAGTACACTTGCACCTTTAATGAGCACAGCTCCTCCAAATTTGTACACTGTTTAATTTCATTGGCAATGTGTATTCTGATCTTGCCACCACTAATGATTTGGTTAACTCCTTCAACTCCATGTGCTCCACTTCCTTAGATCTCAAAGCTTCTGAATTAAAGAACAACCTCTAACACCAGAATACAGCTGTGGTTAATTGAAAACATTTAAATCTGTAAAAGGGAATGCAGAAAAGCTGAACGCAGATGGAAGAAGTCAAGTCTTCAGGTTCACTTTGCTGCTATGAAAGAGCAACTACTCATTTACAGTAGGATGGTTAAAAATGCAAGATCTCACTACTACTCTGATCTTATTTCCGCCAATCGACACAACCCCAGATCCCTATTCAAGACTGTTGACCAGTAAACCCAGCCTATCCTTCTGCTCCTGCTGACTCTGATGCTGACTGTGAGAACTTTCTATTGTACCTTGTTGGTAAGGTGGAGTCGATAAGACTTGGAATCACCCCCAATGCCACCTTTTTGGACATTGACCACCCGCATTGTGATTCCCTGAGCTCTTTTTCCCTCATTACTCTGCCAGAGCTCCTAGAAACCATGTCACACATGAAAGTTTCAACCACCCCTCTTAACATAATTCCAACAAAATTGTTGGTGACTGAATTGCATTGGGCCCCATTTGCTTTCCATTGTTAATAGTTCACTGTCTACTGGTTGTGTCCCAGATTACTTTAAGACTGCTTGCATCCAACCAGTCCTTTACAAACCTGGGCTTGATCCAACTATCTTAGAAAACTACTGCCCAATCTCTAAACTGCCTTTCATTTCTAAGATTGTAGAAAATAATATATCAAAGCAGCTGTTTGCTGCTGTGGACAACAACTGCATTTTTGACAAGTTTCTATCTGGTTTTCTGCCAACATCGCAGCACTGAGACAGCCCTTCTTAAAGTCACCAATGACCTCCTAATGAATGCTGACGCAGGCATGCGCTAAATTCTTTTAATGCTGGACTTGAGCACAGCCTAGATAGACTGAGGCACTGGGTGGGTGTATCTGGTACTGCCCTAAACCGGTTTGCTTCATACTTGTCAGACAGGAAGGTTTGCGTGTCCATTAATAATGTTATGTCATTCATTTCCCATATTTAGTACGGTGTGCCTCAAGGGTCAGTCCTGGGTTCTATTCTGTTTTTATTATATATGCTCCCCTTGGGTGATGTCATTGACATGGTGTCTCTTTCCACTGTTATGCAGATGACACTCAGCTGTACCTCCCTCTTAAACCAACTGACCTCAGCACGCTGAGCTCTCTACAGGACTGTGTGTGATATCAAAAACTGGATGTCGCTAAATTTTCTTCAGCTCAATTCTAATAAAATGGAAATTCTTGTAATTGGGTCACAGCATATCACAAAACAAATACTGCCATCTATTGGTCACCTGTCACAACACATAAAGCCTGTTGCAAGAAATCTCGGTGTCACATTTGATAGTAATTTAACTTGTCCAAAGTTAACCAAAACCAAGAAGCACGACCACATCACTCCAGTTTTAGCCGCTTTACATTGGCGCCGTTTGTTTTAGGATTGATTTTAAAACCTCATTAAGGCTCTTCATGGCCTGGCTCCAGACTACATTTCAGACCCGTTAGTCCAGTATGAACCTTAACGTAGTTTGAGATCCTCAGCAGAAGTCTTCTGTTTGTCCCAGAGTCCAGGCTGAGGACCAAAGGAGACAGAGCTTTTGCCACCAGGGCCCTGAGGCTCTGGAACGACCTGCCCGAGGATATAAGGCTGTCTGAGTCACTGGCTTCTTTGAAAGTCTCTCCCAAAAACTAAAAACGTTCTTTTCTTCTTTCGTAAAGCATATCCTGACTTTATCTGAGCTGTCTATTTTATTGCTATCTTACTGACTTTAAATGACCTTTTATTATCTTGATTTTAACTTTGGCCTTGTTTTTATCTTTTACTAGTTGACATTTATGACGTTATTTGTTTTATTCTTCTGGTGGTTTAATTTAGTTTTATTGTACAACACTTTGTAACTGTGTTTTGAAAGGTGCTATATAAAAAGTTTATTACTTTTGTTTCGAAAAGTACTGCTACTATCCAAGGTGAAAGTATTGCTACCTTACACCAAAACTAGCCTCAGTAGAGTATTGCTACTCCGTAAACTAGTGTGCAACTGTATAGCTGGGAACGAAGCACCCGGTGACCAAGTCATACATTCCACAGTCTGTGGACAGTTAAGCTAAGCACCTGACAGCACAGTTGTTGACAGGCTTCTGTGAGAAGCGAGAATAGGTTTTGGGACAAATGATGCTATGTCAGCCCAATATATAGGAGGAGGGTCCCATCCCCTCTGACATTTACTTCACTAGTGCCAGCCAATTAGGGCTGGTGTAATGTTATTTGAGCTTCTGATGATGTCACGCAGGAGGCGTTCCCATAGTGAGACACGAAACTAATGCTATGAAAGAGAACTCATATCCAACCAAAGCAGAAATGTACAATATAAATGATTTCTTAAGTATCTTCAGTGTCAAGATGTCTACCAACACCATGAGTTGAATTTGAAAATGATAGTGCTTTCTTTCGCCAAGTAAGTACTCGACGCTATGGGGTGATTGTGGTGGTGCAACATGAAGTGTCCGAGGAAGAGAGAAAAAAAAAGTCATGTTTTATTGAAAGTCCTCCCAGTTAGTCAAGCTTTATTTAAACCATACACATTTTAGTATTATGGTTATACAAAGCTGAAACCTTAAAGATACATTTTGGGATCAAACATGTAAACCTGTGTTAAGCTGTTTATCAAGTACAGAATAGTAAATAATAAAAATCAGTCACAGATGAAGTGTCTGCATCAACAAAACTGACCAATAATTATGCCACATGAACAGAGGCTAAAAATACTCAAAACTCAATTAAAACTTTGCCAACTTTGGGCCAATAATCATTTCAAACAAAAATGTTTCCCTTTTTTCAACTACACTTGAAATTAAAACATTAATACCACACAATTTCTGCAGTAAGGCAATACAGTGTTACCTTCATGAAGAGTTAGCTTTTATCAAGGTGTGATAGGCTGGCCAGCTCTTTAAGAAACATTAGCATTAAAGGCTTGATCCATATGAGAATACTAGGTGAAACCTACAATACTTTAAAGCTTAAAATGAGACATAATAATGAATCCCTCATTGATTCAAATGAGGTGTTTGTCATTCGGGTGTTTCAGTACTGTTTTTCATCACAGCTGGTTTTGCTTTGACTTCAGCAGTCTGCTTGTTGCAGTAACTGGTGCAGCTTAGAGGAAGAAGAGCCTGTCTGATAGCTGGATGGCTGGCTCTGTGTGCAGGTACTGACCAGACAGGAAAGCCAGTTTGTGGGCATACTTGCATGGTGCTGGAACACGAATGGTACCCGGCCAGTTCCAGTACAAATGGCACATCTTGAAAGTCAGCCTGGTGTGAGAACAAAGCATCAATGGTAAATGTGTTGTCAAACTGACCTAACATTAACATTTAAAGTCTCTTTATTTTCATGAGCCTGAATAAAATCCAAAAATACATGAAATATATCAATGCAGGAACACTTCAATCCCATGTAGTAGTTTTGATGTTCAAAATATAAATTTTTTCAGCCACTGTTGTTGAGAGTGCACTTACAACTGCTGTTTCTCATAGATAGCGCAGTTTTTCATCCGACATACACTTGCCATTTTATTATTAGGTACACCTAGCTCATACTAGTGCTGTTGCTTTCCCCAAAAATCACGGTCAAACAAATTTGCATTGCAAATGCCTATGCCGTCAAATTCATCCAGCGTAATGCTGATGCTTTCTGCAACACGGACAGTTGTGTGGCTTCCTCTCAGCTCCTTAGTGCACCAAAAAAAAGTTCCCCTGACTCTGAAAAACAGTTTGCTGTGATTGTCTCATAAGCATGTATGGCCAGTGATTTCCATCTGTCTATGGTAAGAGCAAGCATCTTATCATTTTGTATAGCATGGTGTCATGCAGTTTGACTATGCGTTTTGAGATTGTGGTATGACTTGTATTTTTATATCATGGCTTCAGTTCCATCATGAGAATCTGAAACCCATCTCCTGAAACAATACCAAGGGGCCACATGTCCTTGCATATAAATCTTGGCATCTTAGCGTTGATGACATTTTTATGAGCTTCTGGCAAAGGAAAGGGCAAGGAGTGTACGTGGTAAACAAAACTTGGCGCAGTGATGCATATTAGAGCTACATTACATCAGCAACTACAGAAAATAAATACACTGTTATGTTAAATGAAAGGTTTTCCATGGAAGATTAGTATAACAATTAATTTCATTACATAAAACAAAACCCCATCACTTTGCCCAAATATTTAAGGATTCTACTAATGCCATGACTTTCCTGGGCGTGGAAAACAAGACTGTGGAATTCATTGACTTTTCCAGGGTTTCCCTAACAGTGGGAAACCCTGGAATCTAATAAAAATAATTTGCAGACTTAAGTTACTTCAGATGCAGATGCACCGAGTTGGATACATGAACAATAATTTCTCGTGCAACAGTATATCATGAAATGGAGTTTGCATTGCATATTTGCTGTAATACATATCTTGACAAATAACACCAACATTTTTTAAATTACCAAGAGTAGCAGAAAACATGCATGTAACAGGACAGATAACGAGTTTTGGAAAAAATATAACTTCAGAAAATACATATGTCATGTTTCGTTCATTACTAAATCTTAGATTTACATTGATCAGCTGTGAGGTATGACTAGTGGATACAGAGAGGTACATACGTCTGAATGCCTTACGGAGAGGTAGTCTGATATCTTTAAGAAAAGCTCTCCAAGGTTTACATTTTTCTGAACGTTAAACATTTGTCAATTTGTTGAGAAATAGTGGACAAGAAACTTGGTCATCAATACCTTTGCAAATGGTCTGGTGTGAGGTTTGCTGTGTTGTACAGAGAGATGTAGTGAGTAGGAAGTCCACAGCCCTGGCGAATGTGATGTGCCATCAGAAAGAAGTCCACCCTGAATGAAAAGAAGCCCCAAGACTTTAGTGTTACAAACTTCAAAACAGTCAACAGCAGTTACCCTCAGTCTTTGATGGAGCCCTCATCAAAGTGCACATATTTAGTCCTCTAAACAGAAGATGGTGTTGAAGCCTTTTTAATGTTACAGTGTAACACTGCTTTTGTAAAAGCCAATTGAAGCAGAGAGCGGGCCATCTGTGGCTGAACAACTGAAATGAAATGAAATGTGGCACCACCGTGACATGTCAAATGCGGTGAGGAGTGGCTCTGTTTATCTGACACAGACTCCCTCATTGTAGCATGTGGCTGTGTGCCACCTTCATTGTATGCACACTGAGTTTTGCCATGTGATTGGGCAGTTGGTTGTGCAGGGTTTGGAAGCACATAGGCTATATAAACTAGTAATGAATTAATTAACTGGATTGTTTTAACTACAGGATGCACTGATCTGATTTATTCTAGCGTGAAATGTGTAACACCCACTGGGTTGCTCTGCTGCATTTGCATCATGCATTATATACAATGAGGTGGTATTCATTTCAATCATTTTTAAACAGATCCTACACACACACACGCGCGCGCGCGCTTTTCACCACGGTAGTCAGTGAACAGCCAAGTGGCTGCAGTGGAAACGAAGTAAAGATAACTTCAAAATTACTCGAGTTGATTGCAACTACGCTCATTAAGCTAAGTGCAATTAAACCACAGGGAGTAAGAAACCAATACTTTATCAATACATGTGTTCAGCAAGCATGAACATGTAGACAGGGATATTCAAATGCTTTGTCCACAGTCTTTCATCCACCATCACCATTGTTATGTTTTACACAAGGACAGCACGCTAGTTCGGCTAATAGCAAATTGTTACTAATAAGCTAAAATGACAGCTGTCTGTATGTAGAATGACTTAGTTTGACACTTACCTTAAAATTGGACAGATACTTTTAAACTAAGTTGCTGGCTGACGCAAACAGCCCCTACTCTCTCTACCAGCACTAATGTTACCTGCACACAGTGAATCACATCAGCAAAGAGGGATCAGGACACGAGGACAGGTGGACTGACTTTCAGTGACTGATAAATACTAAACTTCACTCAGTATTGTGATGTCAGGATTATTATTCATATAGTGACGTTGCTGTCGTAAAAATCACTGTTGTTGCTCTAGAAACACTTTTTTTCTATTTAAAATATAGTTATCCTGCTCTGAATTTATTCTTTTGAAATGAATATATTTTCTAAAAAGCAATTATTCAGAAATGAAAAAGAACCGATGACAATACAGATAAAGTACCGAATCGATAAGGAGTATTAATAATAGTATGGGATGGACGGAGTGACAACCTGAAAACATAATGCCTCCAGCCATGGCCATCACCATCGTGGAGGCATAAAAGACCAGCCACATACAAACAGAGATGAGCAGCGCAACGCCTATGCAGGTGTGCATGGATTCCATGGTCAGTGTGGTGGCGTCAACTGACTGTGGACGCGCTCTGCTGGGGGCATGCTGCTGCAGATGTAATGCACTGCATCTGCACCCCATGTTTTTCAACTGCATGGCTGGATTCATTGTAACAACAACGGTGTTCAGAAATGCAGCCTTCACATTGATTTTAACAGGCCACTGTGTTTACACATGGAGAGTTTTGTGAAAGATACATTCAGCAAGACCAAAGAAACAACACAGGGATCTTTTGCAAAAGACTGACCAGCCTCTCTGAGTGAGGGTGTGGTCCAGAACAGTTCCAGGTGGAGGTGTGCCAACGCTGCTTGCCGCCCAGGAGTAGAGGGTGGTGCTGATGCGCTTTTTGACAACAATAAAGACCAGCTTGGGCTCATAGCTGGGAAAAGTCTCAAAGCATCTGATCAACTGTGGGATCTCGTACTGCTCCACCATCCTCAGCTGACCATCTGACACACCATCCCGATACACCACAATCTTCTCTGGCAAGTTGTGGTTCACCTACACAAAAGCACATACACAAGTGTTATGTCAGGTGTGGGTGAAAATAAAATATTTAAGTTTAATTCCCATTGCAATGCACTCTATGCTTTTATATGTGGCATAACATTTTAAATCTACACAACACCTAGAAACAGATCACATGTTAAAAATCCAGTTTAAGTTTGGGCATTAGTATCAGAGAGTCCATGTAGATCACATCATTAACTCTGAAATAAGTTTTTTTAGGGCCATTGCTCTTTTTGAGTTATGGCAGGCCACTCCTGCCGTTCAGTAGATATTTTCTTGAGGCACTGAACCAGCGGACAGTAAAAGATGACAATCAAGAGAACGTATCAGTCATCTGTGATTCTCTGCCAAAAGGGTAAGGTGTAGGGATGCACCGAAATGAAAATTTGTGGCAGAAGCTGAATAATATTAAACGCTTGGCTGAATACCGAGTACCGAATTCCGAATATCGTTGTTTAGTTTTGAACCCCCTCCAGATTAGTGTTGTCACGGTACCAAAATTGGGACCCACGGTACGATACCAATGAAAATATCATGGTTCTAAGTAGTATCACGATATCACAGCAAAAATGAGGCAGATGTGCCTTTTGTCATTTATAAAAAGATAAATCACTTTTCTATAATACATCAATGATATTTCAATGGAATAAATTATTTACTGACTTATTCATACTTCAAAAACAGCATCAATCAGTGATTAACATAGGGGGGATCAAAATAGAATAAATAAATAAAATAATCAACCAGCCACCCTCCTCCCCTTCATAAGTAAAGAACAGTCCCTAAAGTGCGGCGAGGTTTGTAGGCTGTGAATGGCTCGTTTCTCCTCTGACACATCACATTCCTGTGTTCGGCTGGCTCAGCTGTTCAGGTACTTCTGGGCAGTCCACACACCAAGAAGAGGATATTATTGAAGCCGACTTCTCCATCGCCGGTAAGCTGATGGCCGCCGTATTTGACAGGAATACATTACTGTCTGTGTCTGTAACCCCTGTTCAACCCACAATCGGTGGGATTCGCTTTTCATTTCTGCTGGTAGTTGAAATCTGTAGGCTGCTTTCACAGCGTGCTAAATGATTTGACGCCAGGGCCACACTGCCTGCAAAGCGCAGCGCAGCGCACCGAAATTCTCGCGCGAGCCGGAGCACCTCCGTTCACATCAGACGCATTTCTCCACGCCGGTCGCCAAGCGATTCTGCTCCCAGCTGTTGTTTGTCCATCATGGGTAACTGCCCGGCTTGACACATTCGCGCGGCTTGAGCAGAACATAGACCAGACGCTGAACTGATCGCTGCAGGGCCGGCGGCGGAGCTGCGCGGCGCGGCCGCTGTAGATGACACAATTGGTTAACATGGGTGCCGAAAGGGAACTGGCTTCAATTCTCGGCGCTTCGAGGCTATTCGTGGCGCTTCCGCGGGCAGTGTGGCCCTGGCGTAAGCCTATTTTGCTCGCTCAAATCTATTTTTAGTCGCAAATGCGAGTGCCAACATTTTAATCAGCCCAACACGGCACGCTGTTTGATTGTGTTATCAAAACCGCACCGCTATTATTCCGCCTTGTTTTTAACTTATTCCACCGAATACCGAATGTGTGTTTTTTTTGCAATATTTGGCCGAATATATTCGGTTACCGAATATTCGGTGCATCCCTAGTAAGGTGTGGCTTAGAGAGAAGGGGGGTTGAATTACAAGACATTTCACTGTCTATTAGCTAATAAGTAAGACAAACATTAAGACATTCTTTGACTAAAGTTAAGTCTTAGCTACTGAGCAAATACAAACATTATTTTGGCAATTCTCCAAATTGATTAGATTAAAATGCTTTGAGTCTGTAGTCTAAGTTGTCCTTCATTGAAATGTATCAATCATTGTCAGTATTTTCATCCTGCATTCATTCATATATGTTTGAGCCTCAGTAATACCCAGACTCAGACGAGGAGTCTGTTGTGCACCAAAATCAGTGACTAGCAGATGTATCAGAGTGGTTAGTGTAGTTAGCACCTTTTATTTTTTTATGTTATATGTCAACTTGTTAGCTTGTAGACTAACTGTCAATGGCTTAGACAGCGTTAGTGGTTGTCAAACATACAATATTACATGCTATCACATGCCCAAAATAATGGTAGGGGAAACACTGCATTTATTTAATGCATGCTGGCAGTACTTGCCTCGTAGTACTTCTGCAGTGCAGCCAGTAAGCAAACTCTGAAGCCGTTGATCAATTCCTCAGTGGGTGCCTGGAATGTCACTCTGGAGTACCAGCGAGTCAGTGAGCTGGGCAAGGAAAAAAGCAAATACATTTCTGTTAAGATACTATCGCCATTAGAAATACATGGTTATTCTCTAAAACAAATATTTTTAGCACTAATCTTCAGCTATAATGCACGTACTTTGGAGATGTTCTAAAAGAACTTTTGCAGATACAAACTTACAATCTGCAAGTCTTGTCATAAGAAGTGACTGAGTTCTGTGTGGCAATAGATGCTATAGGTAGTAACAGAAATGAAATCTAACATTGCACATAAATTCAAGAAATAATTGCTGATTGAATAACAACTGAAAAATATGAAATTCAAACAAGTAGCAAAAGGGTAGGAGGGTGATTTACCTGTTCAAACTTGCAACAAAGCCCATTACTGACTGATGTGCCTTGCTGGTGTCATGGTGGACATCAACTCCCACTACCATCAAGTTTTTCTATTTAAGTAAGAGAGAGATCCATTATTTCCCCACTGACTGCAATAATACTATATCATCTTTTCAGATGAACCACAACATCTATTTAATGCTGTTCCATGAAACATAAGTATACAGTGACCAACCAAAACATTAAAACCACTAGCAACTGAAGTGAATAACATTGCAGTGTTACCCAAACACTGTTGTAGACCAAGTACACCCCTTCACTGCAAGGACACTCCACTTTGGAGGTGCCCCCCCCCCAACCCCCCACCCCAGCAGGAGAGTGCGCCATACCACACCACAAAAACTACTTAGGAATGGCCCGTGGAACGTTTTAAAGAGCTCAAGACATTGACCCGACCTCAAAATACCTCAGATCCCAATCTGATTGAGCATATGTGGGATGTTTTGATGTACTGACACAGGACCTCTGGGGATGTGTTATATTGTCTGTCACCAGGGCGTTGGTGGCAGATCCTCTGAGACCTGTGGGTTGTGAGATAAGGTACCAGCACGTCCTACAGATGCTCAACCAGATTCGGATCTGTAGAATCTGGAGGACAGGTTGACGCCTGAGCTCTGTTAGGCTTCTTGAGCTACTCTTAAGTAGTTTTTGCAATGTGACATGGTGCAGGACCCAAGGTTTCCCAGCAAAACATTGCATGGTAACAAGATGAGCAGTGTTATTCACTTCACCTTCCAGTGGTTTTAATGTTTTAGTTGATTGGCGTAATGTTTCCTTTGATTATGATACATCGTCCTAAGAAGCAGTATTAGGCATTATTGCTCAATAAACCCAAATTAGGCTGCCTTCCCATTCAGCCCAGGAAGAAAAGGCGTTTGCATCCTCCGCCTTATAACATGATACCCACCAGAGGAACATTGACAGTCCACAGCTCTCCTCCCAACTTGCTGTTCACCTGCAGGAGTATCTTTTGGGCAACACTCTTCAGCTTCTGTGGCTGGGATATTGTCCGGACGTTGATGGCCTGTTACACAAAAAGTAACAAAGACGCTAACCTTTATTTCTGACTGGGAGAAAATATTTTCAACATAAGAAAGGACTTCTTTAACAGTTTCAAACTTTACTATGTTTTCCTCTAATTCTAGACCTGCCATGCACACCACATGGACAAGCACTACGAACCTGGGACGGGATGGGACTTTTGACACAGCAGAGCTTCTTGATGGCACTGTAGAGATCGTCTCTGTTGCCTACCATGATGCAAACAACAAGCTGCATATTGGGCTGTAAACAGATAAGAAATGGAGTTATTTAGGCATGATTTTAGTTCAGTGGTACCACACACACAATTATCATTTCAACATGCAAAAACTTGCATAGCTGTTTAAATGTCTTTCCAAGCAAGGAAAGACGGATCATGCAAACGGATACAATGAATTTTTTACATGGTTCCCCAGAGAGCCGCCTGAAAAACTGAATTATAAATAATTGGCAGTAATGTAGATGCAGTTTGTAGTTAATGGGCTAAATCATGCAAAATCATTCAGGGCTTGAGAGTAACAGTTGCTCATGTTGCCCAAGGCAACCAGACTGGAACCACTGTCAGTCATTTTGCGGTCTAGTTTCTGCAGCAACCACTGTTAGTTAAAAATAGAGTTTTTAGATGCCAGCAAAAACACAACAACTGTTATTTAGTCACTGCAAGAGCTAACAGTCACATGGATTTGTTGTTTGTGAATGCACAGAGACTGCCATTTACAATACCAGGACAAATATTTGCAACAGTGATGTTAGACATACTTAATTCATAATATAAAGTGCTACATACATCCATTAGGCTCAGAGTACCTTCATCATGACAAATAGCACAAACACCAACACTTCATGTGTGGTGTGTTCTGCTCTTATAATGCTAAATATCTGGTGGTAGTGGTTCAACTTCATCACCAATTCTTGTGGCTATGTTTAACACCTAACATCCAATCCCCTAACATACTGTTAAGTTATATTTGTACCAATGTATAACACTGGATAGCACCAATATGACATTTTTTTAAATTCACCATCAATTAGTTAAAAGCATGTGGGCAGGGCACAGAAAAATGTAATGTAGACACACTGTGTGTGATGCATAGTGGACACGCTTGGAGGACACAGGAAAAGGCAGATCTATCCATTTAGATGGTTCTCTAGATAGATCGATAGTTTGAAGTATTAAATTACTTGGTAGGCCACTAATCTACATCTTTATGTTATGTCATACCTTACTGGTGAGCTGAGCGTGGATGCTCTTGACATAAGTCTCAGTGCGATCGTCCCTCAGCTCCACTTGAGTGGGTCGCTCCAGTCGCATCCCAATAGGCCCAGCCACCTTGTTAAAGGTGGAAACCAGCTCTTCAGCCTGCTCTGCACAGCGGCGAGGGTAGAAGATGGCCCAGGTGTTTAATGGGATCTAAGATAGGTAAGTTGGTAAAGAAACACAGTAATACAGCCATCATTTGTGGGACAATTCTGAATATTTGAAACGATTTAAATATTAATTTTCTGCAGTATGAATACACCAGAACCAGCTGTGCCTTTCACTCCCTTATTGTTAGTTTTTACCACAGTCATTTTTCTCTGCCATTAACCAGGAAAGAAATTCCAGTATTGTGACAACACTAGTGGTTACACACGGATGCTTGGGAGAAAGACAGATACAACTGTGGTCACCATCACTGAAGACGGAGTTTGGTAATCACGACTACACAGATCACTAATATATTAACTTTGGGTAAAAAAAGAAAAAAGACAAAGACCAGACAATGTTGTTGCCTTACTTCATCAACTTCCCAGTTAAAATGTTTTATATGATGCATTATGGCTAAATTATATTCATCAAAAATTAGGAGACAGCATCAGAGATTTGCCTCAAGTACTCACAGAGCTGATTGAAGGATCCCTGACAACCTCTCTGGACCAGGATACGTCAGCACCAGTGGTGAAGGATGAAGACTGTAGGCAGATGGTTTCAACCGGAAGAGTTCTACCTTTCATCTGCACGAGAGGAAGACATCACACAGTATACTTTCAAAACAAAAGTGTGGGAAGTGTGTCTTTCTACCTGCCTGCTTCACTGCACCTATCAGACAGTCAGACTTCATTTAAATACTTTACAGAAATTGTCATACTTGATGTTCTTATATCCTGTTTTTCCAGAGCTCCTTGCACTCAGTACCCAGTATGAGACACCAGAGGGCTCTGGGTAGCTGACCAGGATTGTTAACCACTGCTTCAAAAGAAACACTATTTACTATGACTTCAAAAAGTAATGACTCTTTTTTTTGGTATGGGTTACTAGGGGCAGATGTAGTCACTGTCTTGCCCTGCCCTCAACCTGTAACTCAGTCTTCCACGGAGTCCGCCATGTTTTTTCTATAGTAGCTCAGAACAATCAAACACTAGCTCTAGCTAAGGCCATCTGTGTTGTTTTTGCGCCAGCCACCCAAGTGTCAGTTGGTTACAATCTAAAATCTCCCCACTACATGCCAATAAATCCTACATACTAGACCTTTAACTATTAAAAGTTAGAATAAAGTCTTGTTATCAGCAGAGCCTCACCACCAGGATTTCCGAGTCCATGTCCAGTCCCCACCGGCTGAGCTCCTTCAGACTCTCAGGGTTTGTTCTGATGTTCTTCAGAAGCTGTTTTATTGAGTGAGTGTGCTGCTCACCACTCACATTTATGTGCATGGTCAGGTCCTACAACACATAACAAAAGACACTGTCACTGAGTGTATTACCACACGTTCTTTTATCACCTATTTTTAGACAAATATTTCCAGACCTGCATCTCCTGAGATGACAGATATTATTGTTCAACACTTTTTAAACCACTGACACTTCACATTTAGTTTTATGTCACTGAGGGTTTGGGAATAGTTGTGTCGACCATCTTATGACATTTCTGATCTTCTACAGTGTTTAAAACAATACAATATGCTAAATATAACTGGGACATTTGGACTAATGTTAATTATCTACCAATTTTTAGTCATTTATACTTATAGTACTTCACTGGAAGAAATATTTCTTTTCACTTCTTTAAACTTGTCAGGACAACATTGTTAACAGCCAAGGCTCTAATGAAACATGGCAGCTCTTGGGGTTTAAACTTACATCCAGCCCTAAAGATAAGATCTGACGAATGGATTTGCAGTCAATGCAATTACTGTCACACACAGTCTCTCTCTGGTACATGGCAATAACATGATAGTGAATGTTCAAACTGGTGTGAACCTGTATAACCAAGCTATAATTGCAGACCTACCTTGCCTGCTTTCAGCACAATGAAAAACACTAACTGTAAAATTAAAAATTGTTAAAGGCATTACATATTGTTGTTCACATTGTGAGGACAAAGTCATGTATTTACAGATGCGTAATGTAGATGTTGCTCTTTAGGTTTAAAGGTATAAGACCAGCATCTGAGAGGAAGAGAATTGTGTCAACATCAAATTTACCTTCATAGCTCTGAAGTCCTTCCTCATTTTCTCTGGGATTCCCGTCATGAAAGAGAGCTCCGGTACTAAAAGGATCTCCCCAGTAATGACTTGCTGCAATAAATCAATATTATAACATTATCTACACAGTTAAGTGTTTACTACCAACGGTATTCATCAATATGTTAGTAGCTCTGATCTTTTTCGTAGTTACGAACTATATCTACACCTGCTTCTGGCTGCTTGTGTAAATAAGATCTTGCACAGAAATGTTGCTTGCTTGTGCTATTAGAAATTACAATTTAATTTCCTATTGTGCTCTTTTATGTTCACTATACGCAGATTCCTTTGAAATAAGTAAGTTAAACATGAAACATTTAATTAAATTAGTTGGCATTTAGCAGATTTAAGCTTCAGATATGGGTTCTTAAAAATGTGATTTTTTAAATCTAACGACTCAATACAAAACTGGAAAACACTGTTCTCTGATTAAATGAAATGACAAACCAACAAACTAATACCATACAGCAAACAGTCCAGATAAAGTGAAAGGTAAAGACAATTCAGACACTTGAATTAACAATCTGAACCGCTCTGTGTCAGAAATAACCACTTTCAATGGACATACAGTGACAATGTTCAGTTGCCCCATTTGCTTTTACTGCAGCTCGTTCTGTGGCTGCTGGCCACTGCCAGTTCGCTCAATACTGGACCAATTTCAAAAATTGTTATTCACATCAGTCTTTGATTTAGACAGGTAAATAGGGTCCAGATTGAAAAATGCTTAATTAATCCGCCAAGTCCTGACGTGAAATGTATTCATTGCATTGTAACCACAAGGTTGCATCTAGTGTTGCACGCTCTACTGGTACCAACGGTAGACCGCGGTACTAAAACACCACGGTACATATGATACCATAATGTTGGAGTACCGTAGTACCACGGTACCACGACTGTGGGATAAGTTCAAAGTCCAAACACAAAGGGGTGAGTGTCCATGTGCTGTTCATTAACGGCGCGCGCTGGGCACCTGGCACTCAATATGCTGCTGCAGTGGTTTGTTTTCCAGTGACATGTCAGGTATTAGCTGAGCTATTGAGTATCTTTAAGCAGTGAAAGTTATTATTTATTTGTTTTTTACTTGTAGGCTAGATTTGTTTATATATGCTACAGTGATTTGTTTTCCACTACAGAGCTCTACGGTGCGAGCATTTTACTGGCATTTGCGACTAAAAATAGTTTTGTGCGAGCAAAAGAAATCATTCAGGAGCACGCTGTGTGAGTGCAGATTTCAACAAGCAGCAGAAACGAAAGGCAAATCCTGCCGGTTGTGGGTTGAACGGGGGTCACAGACAGGATTACAGCGGAGCACTATAGAGCTCTTAAGTCACGCCCCTTCCGGTAGACCCCCATCGGACCTCTAGGGTCGGAAAATATGAATAGGAGTCAATAGCGAGAAAATTATTATTTTCTGGTCCTAGTCATTAAATGCCTTGGATTACACAAATGTTTTGTGTGGGTCTAATTAATATTTTTTCATGTTAAGAGTTTGACAGTTTATTGTATGATTCTTCAGTTATTCCATTGAAATATCATTGATGTATTATAGAAAAGTGATTTATCTTTTTCTAACTGACAAAAGGCACATCTGCCTAATTTTTGCTGTGGTATCATGATACTACTCAGAACTTTGATACTTTCACTGGTATTGTACCATGGGTCCCAATTTTGGTACCATGACAACACTAGTTGCATATCCGCTGAGTATACTGCTGTAAAAGTTTTACTTCATTATTTGAAGAAAAAAAAAAAGATACTTTACCATGTGTCTTTAGCATTTATTATGATAAAATAACTGATGCTGAGGAGAGCATTTACCTTCCCTCCCGGCTTAGATCTCTCCTTTGGACGATGCATGAGCAGAGGTTGGTCCATCTCTTTGATTGTAATCCCATAGTTCTTGCTGATAAATGTGGAAAGCCATGCAATACAATGAGGATAAATAAGTGTTCAAATTATAGTTAAAACTTTCATTGCTTCTTTGATTTGTATAGACTGACACCATTTCAACCCACAAATACATAAAACTTCTGCTATACTCTTCTGGTCTGTTTTGAAAAGATCATGAACGGAGCAACCTCACCTGTAGTAATCCACAAAGGTGGTTTGGGTGCCATCCATCAAAGTGAAGGTGTCCTTGGGAGACTTGTTCCACTCGATGGCATCAATGCGGTAGGTGCGGTTGTTGTAGCGGGTGATGACGATGCTGCCTATGAGCTCTTTGGTGCATTCATCTTGGAAGCTCTGTTTGCTCTGCTGGTAAAGCATGTTCCTAGCAGACAGCAGGGGCCAAAGGTAAAGGTTTTTCAATTTTCAGCTTAAACAGAAAGGCCGTGTGCCTTGTTTTGGCCTTTCATGTTTAGAGAGAAAGGGCAAGGCTAGGGAAAGATTATTACTATTTATAAATAATCTGTAGATGCAATAAGCCTGTTGCACTTGGCAAACCAACTCACCTCTTGATCCAACCACATCCCCAGAGGGAAGGGTTATAGTGGTCAATTCTATTTACAGTTCTGTCTCAGAGGACAGATGCACTCAGAACATGTTCTTACAACCTGCTCCTCAAATATGTATGACTATATCATAGAACACAACATTTACTGTAAATAGCTCTGTGACAGGGTCATGGCATATTCGATGTTTAAACTTGTATGAGCATGTCTACAACGGACAAACAGGAGAAATAGATGAAAAGATGCCCTCTTGATTTTATCATGAAAGACATAAAAAAATCCTGCCCTATAGCTTTGACCACTGAGAATGTAACACTTTATGGAAATAGAAGTGTAAGGCCCTGGCTGCTTTACAATGAAAAAAATTCCAGTTTGACCTATAAATATGAATTTATCTGAACTTGCCACTGTTTGTGTGTTACTGTTGATGTTCTGTGTGAACTCACATGACATCCAGCACGGAGTCATTCCGCAGGACTTTGTGAGACACATCCACATTCAGGTACAGGCCTCCGTCTGTGCGCTTGATACTGGTTGAGTAACCTGGCCACACTTGCAGCCTACAAAAACAGACAAGCAAAATAATGAATCGGCTAGTGTTGCCATGATATTAGCAGGTGTCTGCCTTCTGATGTTAAAATTCAACTCAGTACTTACCGATGTTTTCCAAGAATGACGGCGCTTTCTGGATCGTAATGATTTCGACCCACCAGCTTCAGCCCAATGATTTTCATTACCCTTAAAAAAAAAAAAAAACCAACAAAAAAACAAAAAACAAAAACGAGTCATGTCCTGTCATTAGACTGTCCTAAACAGTGAAATAAAACAGCATGATTTCTTAAATAATTATGGTTGCTTAGAGTTTTTCATTAAATGGCTTTCATGAAATCAAAAAAAAAAAATGTCCATTTTCTAAAGCAGTCTGGTTTGAAGTCAAACAGATCATAAAAACATGTCTTAAAAACTACTTAAGGCTCATTTATGTTCAACATTGGATGCAGAAATGGAGATGGATGGAGCCTTCTGTCCATACTCGATCAACACATATTTGTGCATGTTTTTGAAAGCTTACAGATACGAATGAAATGGAGCGGTACTACCCGAGATCGTGGGGGCTGTGTAATGTAGTTCGAGATTTGACTGTAGAAGACCATGAAGACATTTAAATAATGGTGTAACGGAACGAACTAGTAATATACAATACAGGGTTTGACATAAGCAATGGCCTGATGGCCCGGGGTCAATCAAAAAGTATGTCGGGCAAGTTGACTGACAGGCCACAAGCCCGCTCGGGCCAGTGACGCTGTAAGGCTTTTTTTGTCAGGGGAACAACTCTAGCAGATTTTTATCCCACTTTTCTCGAGCCTTCAGTAGATTTATTGGGCTTTTTGGCCAAAGGTGCCCTCACCTTTGCTCGTGCAGTGAAACACCGGCGGAGGGAGAAACGTGCCGGTGCACTTGTGCGTCTCTGCCAATGCGGACACTGCACACCGCTGCCATGCAGGTATATTTCTCTCCAATGTGTGTTCGCTGGCCAGTAAACTGGATGAACTTCAGCTACTGATGGTGAAAAACGGATACTTTTCTACATCTGCAGTTTGTGCTTCACAGAGACGTGGCTGTGTGGATCGATACCGGACTCTGCACTGCAGCTGGCAGGCTTCCAACTCTTTAGAGCGGATCGTAACACAAACTCTCCGGCAAAACTATAGGTGGAGGTACCTGTTTTTACACTAACAGTGGCTGGTGTAATGACGTGACAATGATCCAGCAGCACTGCTCTCCTGATCTGGAATCTTTTTTTCATCAACTGCAAACCTTTTTACTCCCCCCGTGAGTTTGCTTCATTCATTCTGGTCGGTGTTTACATCCCACTGCAGGCCAACGTGCAGGAGGCACAGCGCACGCTCGCCGACCAGATAGCTACTGTGTGTGTGGAGCGGACTCCTTAGTTATTGTCCTTGGTGACTTTAACAAAAGGTAACCTCACCCATGAACTCCCCAACTACAAACAGTTTATAAAATGTCCGATCAGAGAGAAGAATATCCTGGATCACTGTTACACAACTGTTAACAACGCCAAATTTAAATTATCCTTTAGAGGCCGCACCGCATGAGAGAAAAATAGGACATCAACTTATTAGTCAATATAAGAATGACTGAGAAACTGACACAGCAATGGACCAGCTGAACGCTTTCTTCTGAGAAAGAAATTAAAATGAGAAAAAATATCCCAAACTGTATTAAAATATTATTGTTTGCGAGTTAACGGAGGGCAATTACAGCATTTAAAAAAAATAAAATAAAATAAAAAAATCTTAATGTGACAGGTTAAGTAAATTATTGCTATTATGTCACAGTGTGAATTACATGTAGTTACAGTATAGCAGAACACCATTTATCTGAATGTTGGCACAATTTCAAAGTTTCCAATTGTAAAGTTTTAGACTGCACATAAATTAAGTAGTCAATCTCTGACCAAACAGTGTAGGATCTGTTTTTAAAAATACCTCCTGAGCACCACATTGTAGAATGGGATGCATAGATCTGAGTTGGGTGGCAAAATCTTCGTCATCTCAATTTGTATTTGTATTTCCACATTATCGGTCCGTCTCAAACTCTTGAGAACAACCACCTGCAAGTCATCAAAATATTATGCAAACAAGGAATCCAGTGTTATGTTCAGCAATCTGATAGATTTTGCACTGTATAGATCTGCACAGACAAAATTCAATACATTTAAATGAACAACTACTTTTTTAATAGTTTTAGACCTCTGTAGGAACTCGGTCATCTACACACACAATCTGAATTAATTAAAAATTGTTAACACACTTTAGTCAATTAGTCACATGACTGATAAAGTTAACTGTGATACTTACGTCATTCAGCTTCACAGGCAGGAAGAGTATGGAGCCATCAAAAGCTACTACTTCCCCTGTGGCTGAGCGGTGATCTTTCATCATGCCAAAACGCATCGCCATTGATTCAACGTTTGGACTGAAAGACAGACAACAACACTCGTGACTTCTAAAAACCACACAGCACTTCCCCAATCACCAGTATCCACTGACAACATTATTCAACAAATAGCTTCTATGGAATACCTTTGCACTAAATGTGTCAGCTCTGGGATTTTATTAACAGCATTGCTTCAGTATATTTTTAGCTTTGGTTGTCTATGTCCATTTTTGATTCATGTTGTCATTCAAAAAACGTGCTATCAAGTGTTGAACAAAGTCTTGTTTCATATGAAATGGTGGCTAATACTTAACACATTTATTATTATTATTTTTTTAAATTTCCATTTATTTAATTGTTGCTAAATGAGAATACAAATGATACCAAATACTTACGTGAATGTAACATGGTACTGATAGACAGCTTCATTCTTGCAGCGAATCGGGATGTGGTTTGAGCCGATAGTTATAGGAGCTCCTTTTGTTCCAGCCTTGTTTTGTGGCTCACTGATCAGATGAGAATATAAATGCACAAGATCATTTAAGCACAACCAACACAAACAGTGGGTTACTTGGTGGTACTGGGTTTTATCTTCTGTGTCTGTAAATCTTAAGTGAATGGTGGCCTTGAGACAGCAAGATGATCTCACACAACTAGCACTGATAAAAGCTGACTGATCAAACGCACTACGTTGCCTCACATCTCTAAAACGATGCACCTGAACACACCACAAAGACCATAGTCAAAGGCTTGCTTTATTTACAATAAATAAAGGCTGCATCATATGGTCACGAAACAAATGTAACATTTTGCTCTGTTTTGCTTTGGCATCCTCAAGTGCAACACACACCGCCGCCGGCGCGGCGCTGTGGCTGTCAAGTGCCGCCCCCCAACACACACTGGCAGAGGCCCGCAGCAGCACCGTTGACATGTATTTCCCACCCCAGCCCTCTAGGTGGCTGTACCTACACTAGTTGCCAACGGTTGCCAACTGCTAGTAACAGAAGAAGAAGAGGAAAAACTTTAAGGCAACAGCAACTTGGATTTCACGGGTGAGTTTCATCTTATTAAAAATTTGAAACAACTGGTTTTGATACCACGGCGGCCGAAAACATACATAAAAGGCTTTTCTCGCAGCGCCGCCATGAGCGCCGGCCGCGCTGGAAATAGAGCAGTGGGCTGAAGCAGAGCGGCGCGGCGCATCGGCCGTCGCCAGTGTGGGTTGCTTCATAGAATATAATGGAGGCAGGCGTTTTGACGTGCAGCGTATGGCGGCGGTGTGTGTTGCACTTCACTCATGGTATGGAAGAAGAGGTGGATGAGTAATGTAATAACACAGGATGCACAGATTAAGCTTCTGATAGGCTCGACTGATAGCCAGTTAGTGATGGGTGACAGTTTACTACTAGGATTGGGTTGGTATGAGGAGAAAAAACGGTCCGGTTTTTGTGAAAAACCGCATCAAGTCGGTAATACCAGATATTCGCCACTTGGGGGCGCAACTGCCTCATTTAAAATAAAAAACAACCATAAGACAACAGAGTGACAGTAACACGTTGTTTCTTTTATTCCTTACAAATAAATTTGCAGGTTTAGCTTACTCAGTCAGTGCAAACAAGGGCTGCCTCCTTCGTCTGGCTCAAAGCCAAAGTGTTGCCATATTGGCGCATTCTCTAAATTCTTCGAGACTAAATTGTCTGCCATTATCGACTACCCGTCACTGTTAAACAAACTCCAGGCTACAGTACACCCCCTAGCTCGGTCCCCGCCCCACCCCCACTCCCCTCTCTCTCCTGCTCGCTGTGTGCTTGGCGAAGAGGCAGACACAGGTGCTCACAGACTCGGACGTACTATAAGCAGAGCGGACTCCGTGAGGAATGTCCGCAGTCATTCGGGCTTCCATATTCGAGCGCACTTCCACGTTGTAGTTTCCTGTAACATTGTCCGTGAAAAATCCCCGCGATGTGAAAAATACATGCCGAGCAGTCTTTTGTGTGACACTGGTGCGCGGAGCGGTTGTAAAATCTGAGCTTTGTGCGCACAGGGCTTGCGGACATCTGCTTTTAGTCCGGGCGGATCTCCGAGGAGTCCGCTCCACATACGTTCCGCCCAAGTATGACGTATGCAGTCCGGTCAGTCCCAAAATAAAAACCTGGTCCAAGATGGAGTACCGAACCAAATTGGTATTACCGAGAACCTCCTGCTGCTATTATGTCTCTGTAGCGAATAGGGTTGGGTCGGTTCTCGGCAATACCAATTCGGTTCAGTACTCCGTCTTGGTCCGGTCGGTCTCAAAATAAAACCCGGTCCAAGACGGAGTACCGAACCCAATTGGTATTACCGGGAACCGACCCAACCCTATTTGCTACAGAGACATAATAGCAGCAGGAAGTCAGCTTGGTGTGTCAAGGCCCTAAGAGGTAAGTACCAGCTAAAAAAAGTTTACTTACCAGACTGCCTCCATTTTCAGCTCTGTCTTTGCCGGTGCAACAGCAGAAGGCTTCGGCAACTCTGGAGTAGTGGGCAGCAGGGGCACGATTCCTTCAGATTTTTGGCATTTTAAAAACTTTTATCATAAGTTCTTGTTACCCATATAATCATATTAACTAAATATAATTACAATGAAGGTTGATCATCTATTTTAACCTAGCTGAAGTAAATATTTTATCTTTTGCATTGTCTCATGAATAGTCAGAAACATTTTTCAGAGTTTTCCTACCAGTGTGGGAAGTCTGAGAGTGTAGAGCTGCTTGTTGCTCAGGGGCTGGAGAAACAGACTCGATACGACCTGGAGAAAAAGGAGGTGGCAGAGCGTGTCCTCTTCCTACTCCAGGTTGAGGCATCGCTGCTCTTCCAAGCCCCACCATCGTCTGTGGGGACAAACCTCGGCCTCGGAGACTGGAACAGGTCAAATTCCACAGCAGACAGGGTTAAGTATCATTTTTTTCATTTAATACTAACAGTGGTTGCAATAATTCTGTATCAATGCTAATTTTAAAACAATGGGAATATAGGAGGGTCTGACCAACAAAAAAATTACAATGCCCTCAAAAGACGTTACAGTTAACCACGAGTAAGCATTGTGAGATCCTGTACGCATCTTAGGATCTGCCAAAAGCTGCTCTTACATTTACAAAAACACAAGTAGCTCAGAAATGACTGCTTCACTTCAGTTACAAAAACAGATCCAGATCCTAGTTAATCAGGCACACCTATCTAAAACTAAAGCAATAAGATATAATTGCGCTGCAATATTTCCTGCCTTCATAAATGCCACAATGTACAATTTTAGGGAGGTATTAATTAAATCTCTGCCCATTTTGGAAGATGTAGTTAGTGGTGTTGTTATTGTTGTATTGTACTGTGTTATGCTGATAGGTGTTCTTGTCACTCCTCTGCCAACTACCTGCTACCTCTGCCCATCACCTCTTCAGGTAGGCCCATGCTCTCTGGACTGCTGAAGACATCTACTGGGACACCTTGCAGCTTTGTATCACCCATACCACCAGCTGCTCCTCTTCCTACAACAAAATGTAAAACAATCCGTACAGAGTGACATGGGTTTAACCTGCATTAACATTTTTTTCAAAATAGATCAACACTCGTCAGTCCTCTGAGCTTTGCTTAATGAGGGTCACTCACTCCCTGCCTTTGGTAAATGGATGTCTCCATTTGGACAAGGACCTTAATTTAATGATATTGATGTTTAAATGTCTTTTAAACAACTCCCAAACAGAGAGAAAGAGAGAAAAAAAAGAATGTGTACATATGTTCAGACAAAGTGTGAACTATACAAAGAATTTCTCTGCCATTAACACATTTTTTTAAAAATCGCCTTGTACTGGAATACAAGTATTTTTAACTTCATATATTTTCTCTGTTAATAGATACAATTTAATGAATAGGAGGCTATTTTATAGCTGTGATAATGCTTCTTTAACGAAATATCCTGCTAATTATATGAATTGATGCATTGAATTTATGCTTTTTCAAAAATTTGAAACCATGCATGTTTTCTGTTTATCAAGTCCCTCTCACACCATGCAGTTTCTTCTTGCCACAAGAGGGTGCAATTGCATGCATTGTAACCAATACTGTTCCCCATCTAAGGAAGTTACTGCATCAGTGATGTGCTAAGAATTTCTCTGTAATTATTACAAAAAGTAATCATATCACACAATAGTAGTTCTCCATTAATGACACACCATATGTACCTGAACACATCTTATAGCGCTAGGTGTAATGTTGTTCTGCTTCACAGCAGCATGCAAAATGCTTTAATGTGCAAAACTAGTATCTACAAGTCATTTTAGTCAAACATTGTTAATGTACAGTGGCAACCAATAACTACTGATAAACCAATAATTGGTCCCAGCCTGTTTATTTTCCACCCAAAAAACCTTTTAATACAGACCCAGAGGTGGTGCTCCTCTTCCCCATGAGGTCACTGAAGGCTCAATGCCCATTCCTCTAAACATTGAGACCAGTGTTGATCCTTGACCATAGGTAGTCGTATCAACCTTTAAGTAGACAAAAATGTTGGCAGATCTTAATGTAGGGCAATATCATTTAAAAAGTTAAAACATACAAATTGTTTATGCATATAGATACATTTTTTTGTTCCAACCTCTTTTGTTGTTAAAGCAGAGGTCTCCTCTGTTTGGTCTCGTGTTGTGGTTTCATGTGGTGACGTCTGTACATGCTGCGGATCCAGACTAGGCAGGATTACACCTCTGGCCACCCCTAACACTGGCTCAGTTGCTGGGAAGAGCAGCCCCCTGGCTCGGCCAACTCCTCCATATTCAGGCTGCACCAGCAGCCCTCTGGCGTGTCCAAACACAGGTTCAGTAATGGGCAGAGTTACTCCTTGTCTTTGTGGGGTATCACCTAGAGTTGGGAAACCTCTGGCTCGTCCTACACCAGGCCTTTCTGTAGAGAGCAGTAGCCCTCTACCACGTCCTACAGCCGGCTCCTGAGGCTGTAATCCTGCTCCACGTCCCAGCCAGGGGACGCCCGTCATACTGCTGAGCTCAGGAGGGTGCTTTGGATCCATTTGGCCAACTTCTGATATAACCAGTTCACACAACAATGGGTTAACTGCAGGGAAACACCCATAGAATAAAATTCATTAATGGCACGCCACCTAAGGATATTATGCAGACAAGAATGTAAAGACAAAAAAAAATCTCAATGCAATGCAAAGCAAAAGACAACGCTCTGGCTAATTCACATACATTGATATTACTAAAGCGCTGAAATGCATTAAAATTCATCTGCCAAAACGAATATAGCTCTGGTTTGAAGAACAGATACACATCTCAGGCCTGTCTAATTTAATACAGACAGACAATTTAATTTGTCAAGTGGCTGCAGCTTTGTTCATTTTTTCTCTATAGCTTGGTGCAGTCAACTTTAACATAGAAGGAAAGGGGCAAAATAACATAAAATTTACTACAAGATTTAACACGTTGACAAAAAGAACTGAGAATATGTTTCATTTTTTTAAAACGTTAATTAATAACTAATTAATCCCTTACAGTTATTATAAGAGAATAAACTTGATGAGCGGTAAAGCTAGAGCAGACAGTGTTAATGAGACCGCATGGGAAATAATGTTGGGTTAGCTAATATAACCTTCAAGATGCACCTTGAGTTAGCTTGTTCTTATCGTGTTGTCTGACTCTAGGTATGCTAACGGTAAAAGCAGACTTAGCGGCGCCTCGCTTCACCAGTTCGCCCTTATCGCCATAAAGTACAAATTTATTCATCCATTTATGACAGCTTACATTAGCTACTACTACTATGTCACTTAGCTACTGAACAATAGCCATCATGTTAAACTGCGTTGACTGCATAGCACCGCAGTTAGCTAAAATTAATTCTAGCTAACGTTAGCTAATTGAACAAACACGTGTTGAGGACAATTAGGCTACACAGACGATACAATACAGCCGAAACACGTCCAAAATCACTCGACCTTTTTAACAAAAATAACACACTGTAAGTTATTAATGTTAAAAGCATGAGTGCCCAAAATACATGTACACATATCTTACCTGGCACCAGCTGACAAGTCCGTGTTAAATTAATCCACCTGTTAGATTTAGCAGGTTGATGGATGGTATTTTCCCGCCCATCCGCTTATTGGATAATCAGTAGGTTTGACCCAAGACATTGGTTCACTGAACTGTCAATCATCCATGGATCATTTAAATAATACTGGGGAATATTGTTTTTTGTCGCCCTCTGGCGGTCACCACCTGGCACCTCACTTGAGCAATTAAATTCACTGGCTGTTTATGTGCACATGACAGCATCAGTTTATTAATTTCAGTGACCTTAACGCCCTGCACTTAACTTTTAATGCAGACTCATGGAATGCAGTTCAGTCAGGCTCCCATGAAAAGGCCTAACTCAATAATGATAATGTATGGTTAAAACAAACTGGGCTGGGATTCAGCATGGTGTGTTTCATATTCACCCATTTCATTTGAACCTGGAAGATACAGGACTTTGTGCTGGTGGCCTATTGCAGCCCACTCAGGTCACTATATCTTTGTGTATGAGTATATTTGTGCAGCTTACTGATTTTGAGTAAAATGTTTGATTAAATTAACCATATGGTGGCATTAAATTGAATGTACTGATATTTAATGGTTAGTCACAAATCATTTACAGTCATAAATTAAGCTAGCTATGTTCAAATCAGGCCACCACACCAACTACAGATATTTTGTTGGCAATATGTACAAAGGAAAACTAATAGGCAGAAGCTGGGCCATTTTGTAGACTTTTGCAGTAAGGGTTGTGACTGACCAAAATCATGAACTGTACTCATATTTAGGATGCTTGAGACAAAGCTAAAAATTGTTACTGTGCGATTATACAGGCGATCACTTCTGTCTTTGGGGAAAATACCCAAGTTCTATATTTGCAGTATGTTTCACAGCCACATGGCATTCGGGGGGAATTGGTAATGACGACAAGTCTTACAGATCTTGGCTTTCACTAACTGTCTCACTTCACAACTACGCACATTTCTTTTGGACACAAAAAAGCCCAACTAAAAATGCAATCATGATGAAAAGATGCTTCAACACCTACTCAAGGTCAGCCGCTGACATGTGCAATGATTTGTGTCTCTTTGTTATTTGAAAATGTATTTTCTAATAAGAGCTCAGAGGGAGGTGGACGAACATTCTTAAGAGTCCAAAAGCCCACAGAGCTTTGGTTTTCAGGTCACTGGTCAGGCGTATCGGCAATTAGCTTCAGACGCTTCTGAAATAATCACAGAAATGCTCCCAGAGGTGTTGAGGTGATGACATTGGGCTCGCACCTGGTCTCTGCAGGAATAAATTAATCACTGTTCCAGAAAGTAGCCATTCTTTTAGTCCTTTTACATTAACTACTGTTTTTTGGGGGAGTTACTTCTGAGACCTAAAGGACAGCAGTTAGTCATAATCATATAGTTATTTTAATTGATGAACATGGCTTTTATATTTCCATAAAGTCAGTCTTCAATGGATTCTGTTTCGTCCTTGATCCTTGAAAAACAACATCATATAAACCGCAAAGATGAAAACCTGATTGTAAATGATTTAATTTTTAAGGGTTTTAATGCCATCTGTTGACATATGGAGGTAACTGCCACAGATATGAGAATTAACTTGACCTTCCGTAATGAATTTAAACACTTTCCCCAAAAAAATTTCTCCATAAAGCTGAAACCAACTCCAGAATCTGTTTAGCTTGACATAAAAGTGTGATGTTACAGTAACAGCAATATGCCAATATGTGTATAAATATGTCACTGTATGCGGCTCTGAATAAGTGCCTCAGCAAAATGCAAAACAGTGTGACTAACAGCTTGTCAGTAGGGAGGTTTTATTTCAATATAATTAGACTAAGCCTTGTTACAATTCTGTCGGAGGTAATCAGCAATCAGTAATTATTTACCTGTTGAGAAGAAACCCAAAGGAGTTTGAAGTGTGTGTGACCTTGTATTTAGGCTTCCTGCAGCTGTAATAATCTGAGTAGGGAAGGCTGACAGGACACTGTCATTTTTTTGCTCAAAAACTATCAGTGATTGTGCAAGGCATTTTTGTTCTTATTAAGTGCAGCAGCCAGCAGCGGAGATGTGTGGCAGCTTGTAGATGTGATGTGAGTCAGGTTCGCTATGCTTACTCAGCAAACCCAACTCTCACATCACTGACAATGACAAAATGCCATGTTTTCCTCTCTGTAATGTGCGTAATGTGTAATTCTGTTACTTTACTTCTTTTTAAGACATAAAACATATAACAGAAATATCCTGAAAGGAGTATACTTTTTCTCCTGAAACAGTAAAATCAAAGCAGGTGTTCCATTCATCGGTCTAGAGCAGGGGTCTGCAACCTTTGCCATTAAAAGAGCCATTTTTGACCAAAAATAATTTGAAAAAATCTGTGTGGAGCCGCAAAACATGTTTGAGCCTTATAATCAAGGTAAATAGCCTATTAAGTCTAAATTAGCGTATACTTATAGTCTAAATAAGCATTTGTTAATATGTTTTACCACAAGGTGGCCGCTGTGCAGGGCACTATTAATAACTATCTGGTAGTTAAATTTTGCAGAGCTGGCAGTGAGAGCAAACAAATCTTTCCATGCACTACTGCATTTTCTATTTTATTCAATTTACTTTTTTGGATTTGGCATCCATAGCTAACCAGCCACTGCTATCGAGGTTCAGCAACATTTGGATTCATAGAATGAATTTCCATAGACTTCTTTTCTCAAAGGCTCAAGGAGCCACTGGACAGGGGCTAAAGAGCCACATGTGGCTCTGGGGCCACAGGTTGCCTACCCCTGGTCTAGAGCAACTTCAAATTATTCCACAGATACAAAAGTGTGGGCAACTTTGGGGTTCTGTGTCCATCTGCTCTTAACATGTGGACAAGAAAAGCAGGGGGTCAAACATACTCTATGATAAATGGTAAATTTGCTCTAATGTTTGAGTTACAGACACACACAAAGTGCAAGGCATGGCAAGCTTCCCCTTCTGCCCCACCCAACACCCCCCACCCACGAATAAGCTCTAACCTCTGGGTGCTGCCCTGGGCGGCCGCCTATGTCACCCATAGGAAGATCCACCAGATTCTATTAAACATACCTAAGTCTGTTAAGTATAACTTAAAAAAAGATCACATTTATGTTAAGAGTTTATTTAATTTAAAATTGTTTATCTATCTAGTAATCAAATTAGCAATTAAACAAGAGGTCAGTTATACAGTTACAGATGCTTATGGCTACATATACACACATTCATCATTTATTTAACAGGGAAAGTAAACAATACATTTATTGCTCCAGATGTAGCTAAAAGCTAATTGTATCCGTGGACCCTGGATGGAGGGCCAACAGAGGAACTTTGGTATGTATAACTGTCTCTAATAAAATTTAGGTTTTTTTCATCCCCTGACATATGACTCTGTCCAGTGGTCTCAACATTGGCGGTTATGTGAGGAGTGACATGTGATTGGCTTTGACTCGGGCTAAGAATGAACACCAGCGGACAACTCTTGCTGTAACTCTCATCTACCTTTTGGAAATGAACCACAGTGGAAGCAAAGAGTAAAGTCTGTATTCAGAGACAAAAAGTCAAGATTTTGATTTATGGAAACAAAACTATAAAGGCTCTTTGTTGCTATGGCCTTGACTTAGCAAATGGGATTTTGACTTTTGTTTCTTGAGATGAATGTGTATCAGTAATGTTTTTGCTCATGGTTTATTTTATATATTTATCTGTTTTTTTATGACATGACCTCTTTCTTTGTTGCACTGCAGTGTGTATTTAGAATACTGATTCTAACTCCCTGAGACAAATTAAAAAAAAAAAAAATCCAATCACACACAAGCTGTGAGTGGTTTTTTTTTTCTGTTTAAGACATCACTCTCAGATAATTTTCACACTTTCAGTCAATTAGATTCAACACTTTGGCTACACTGATGCAGATAAGCTTGATTTTAAAGTGTGACCTTATCACAAACATTTATAGCCAATAAATAGTTTAACCATTTTTGTGGTTTGCTACTGAAGTTATTTACCTGTGACTCTGAGTAAACATAGGTTGATAAATAAATGCATTGAGAAAATGTGTTATTGAGATAAAAAGGGGTTTAGTAAGGTGGTTATATTGACTTTTGCAAGAAAACTCTGGTTTTATAATCTTGTTTGTCATTTGGAAGTGATCTTCACTTTGAGTTCAGCACCAAATCACAAACACTCCCTGTGTCGTTCGCTGGTAATTTCTGTGGCCAGGTACTTCAGAAACAAATGTGTTTTTCTGCTCCTCTCTTACATTCGCTTGTCATGATGAAATTAGCTGCTTGTTGCCCAGCTCCTGCTCCATGCCTGATTGTGTCACTTTATTAAGGTCATGTTCGCAAATCCTCAATTTGCTACAGAGAAAACAAGATAAACAGTGTTTATCTTCCCCCTGGCCTGTGAAGAGGGACAATCTCCACCTGCCTGCCTTCAGCTGTAATCTACATCTAAAGAACAGTCAGACATTTGACTTCAACTGACTGACTGATAACATTATGCCAGTTCATGTCAGAGGCACAGACGGGCTCCGAGCCGACATCGTCAATAGCATTACCTGTCATGTCTAATGCAGCATGTTTGGATAAGGCCTGAAGGGTTGCTTTTGGCAGTGTGCTCTGACATTTAAACTTTAGAAAATGATTGACATGTTGCTGTAATTGCTGGTCAAAATGTAAAACTTGATTTACTTAATATTTTTGGTTTCATTAAGGCTCTTACTGCCCAATTAGAAGGGATCCAGGGCTTGTGAGCAAAAGTCACATGGATTCACATGGGTCTTGTTTATTGGACGGAGTCTCAGTAACCTGACAGCCAAACAGGCCGCGGGGGGATTTTGCCTGCAAGGGAGATCAAAACAAGTTTTGTATTTTAAGGTCATTTCCTGTAATTGTTTCAAATGTAGGTTTCACATCTGACAAACCACACTATGGTTTTAAGAAAGGAGCACACAGATTTGAATTTTCAGCTGTCTCAGCATGGGAACCTGCTTGCACCAAAGTCCAACTGTCAATTAATTTAAGATATGCTATGCAGATATTTTCTAAGAAAAAGAGACTCATACAGGAGTAATCTCTCTTAGTCATCACTATGACCCACTAGAAGTCTGCGGCAGTGTGTTTTTCTGCAGAGACTCTGCTATCTGCTTGGATGTTCATTTTTTTGTCTTATTTTTATGTTTTTGATGTTTATAGGCATGTGCCCCCTGAGGAGAGGTTGGGGCTTTATAAAAAGGTAGCAACCAGGTGCCAGTCTGTATAAGCAGCAGGCATCCAAAACACCAAATGAGAATGAATCTGGGGTTGGCTTTTACTTTCATTTTAGCTGGCAAGCATTTTCACAGATAGTAACAACAACAATCCTGCAAAGTATACCTTTAAATGCTCAAGAGCTAGAGTCCATGCATACTTGATTCGTGGAAGCAACACAAACTAACCATACCTGAATGTATGGATGGATTACTAAATGGACCCATCGAGCACTGGCCCAAGGGCCCAAGGGATCAGGGCGCCCTTGGCCAGAAACTTTGTTTGAAGTGACTGATTATCTGGTTGGTTCGTCAATCAAATGACTATTAAGAGATGCAAAACATCCACAAAGCTATACCAAACTAGCAGAAAGAGATGAAAACAACAACAAAAACAAAAAACCCAGAATGACCACAAATAGATGCAAATTGACTACAAACACACACAAAACAAACACTGAGAGACACAGGAAGTACCCAGGGATGAAAAAAATGACCACAAAAATATGCAAATGGTCATGGCTACGTGGTTACTTCCACAAAGTTGAAATAGCTCCATTTACTGCAGTCTGATTTGAATTTCTCATCACCATGTTTTCTCATGCACCCAAAGCAGGTGTAATCCACACCTGTTTAACCCCTCTCATTACAAGATCCTCAGGGGAGCTGAAAGAGACACACAACATGTTGACAGGTTGTTTTGCATAAGCCCTGAGAACTTGCCACAGAGGCTTTCCACCCTGGAAATATGACCCATCTCCTCTGACTTCTGCGCATTGGTAATATCCTTAGTGTCAACGGACCAAATTTTTCTGACAGCAGAAGGTCTAGCAGAAACAGCCAAAGGTCAGTGGCATTAATCTGATGTGACAATCTTTACTGACCAGTCTGTCAGACTGAGCGGTTAGGTAATGGTGACTAAAGGGGCCATAGTTGTGGTGGCTTGCATTTGTGGTAGGGGAGGAGCAGTGATGACAGCCTTTGAAGGAATTGTGGGAAACGGCACTGGCCCCTCCAGGGCCAGGGGGACAAACACACCACAGCTGTTGCAGTCTGGATGACGATGCAAGCAGCCAAAGTCCTGGGAAACTTTCCCATATGTCCTCACTGTCTTCAAGCATCATCAGCAGTGCTGGACTTTCTCTTTTGATTTGTCTCCGGTGCTTAGCTACATCTGAGGAGCCAAGGCAACCAAGGAAAGCGTCAGCACAACACAAAAGCATATTGTACACTATAAGAGAGTTGAGTTTGAGAGAGATGTTCTATTTATAAACAGGTGATTTTTTTGCTTGTTGGAGGCACTGCCAAAATGCCACAAGGTTCATTTCCTGTCTCTTCTTCAAATTCAAGAGGCATGTGGGAAAAGCAGGGATTTTTTTTAGAGCAAACTCTGCAGCATCATTTCTTTTTTTCCAAAAAAGGCCCGGCTGTGTTTAAGAGCTTTCAAATGATCTGTCACTGGGGTTTCCAACCAGCTCATTCCGAGAATCATAACGAGGAGGAGATATTATGTGTGATATTATGTGGGATTTTTGTGATATTATCTCACAGCCAGGTATAAAATAGACAAACGTTTGATTTCATTAACATAAGTGCACACAAGGAAACCCACCTTAAAATCTGTATTTTCTGATTAGTATATATTCAACTTCAATTTGATTTTGTCCCTGGAGGGCAATCGCTTTTAAAGAAAGGCATATTACAACCAAGCAGCAACCTCTGCAGCTGAAAAACAAAGCCAAAGTTGAACAGCCAAAAACTGCAGTTCCTTAAATGACCACTAGAGGCTTGCTCCCCATAAACCCCCATGTTAAAATGTCCACCTTTACAGCAGAAATAAAGACGGGGTGAATATTTAAATAACTCATCCGTTTACATTTTATTAAGGCTTAAAGTTACACAAAATTAAGGGCATGCCCCTTTTTATGACAGGCTGTCCGCCAATAGTGTCCTGGTTTCGCAGTCAAAACCACTCCTGGCACCTACACAGATCCATCCTCTCATCCAAACTGAGTCACTTCTGGCTCCAAAAATCCAAGATGGTGACGGCTGAAATACTGAACTCAAGGCTTTAAAACTGGAGTCAAATTACCAATGGGTAGCTATACGTCCATTATTATATACAGTTTACAATTACAATGCATGAAACAACACAAATAAAAAGTACAGTAAGTGGGGTGGGAAGTGTCCTCAATAGAAGTGGGCTAGCTCTGACTGTATTTTCAGAGATTCAAACTATTTTGAAAGATTAAAAATAATGTTTATATTGTTACTTAAAACTACTTTGTTCAGCATTTTTAACTGCTTTTAATTAGCCTACCTGGTCACCTGGAAAGGAAGAGACCTCTGCAGTGTGTTAAGAGACAAAAAGTAGGTGGCACAATTGCTTAAAGTGACTTTAATCACAAATCACTTTTTAAATCATTTTTAAACAAACATTTGTGTGCATTACAACATATTTGTGTATAGCTGAGACCTTACCCTTTCATGTGCTGCTGGTCAGAATATTCTAACATAAGTTATGCAGGTGAGGCAGAGAGCACAAAGTGTGTCAATCAACCCGTCTCCCCTAGTCACTAGTGTCAGACTTTCACATTTTCACAGCACAGCAGCAATGACATCAAAAAATATTAAAGCAGATGGAATATAAAGCAGCAGAATATGAAGATATAAATACAAATACACGGACAGAGTAAAGGCTAAAAACATCTCAAATCAACATCTCTGCCATCATAACACAATCGTCACCATTGGCGTCATCATCTACATTAACTGTCAAGGGTGGGTACAGGTTTTGGAGAGGGAACCCCGTGCCTAAATGCACAAATAACCACTAAATAAACTATTCATGCTTTTGCACGCATGGCGCTCTCTGAATCCACTTTGAAACCGCTGCTCTTACGTCGCGTATTTAGTTAGAAGGCTGTCTGTGCGCCCTAAGACATGCGTCACATGGATAGGTGCGGTTTGCGCAGCGCAAGTCCCCAAATAGTCCGTATTTGTCTGCTTAGTGAACTGAGTAACGAGCACTCCGGGAGCATTTGTTCAGATTCTGTAACTTTTTTCCATTTCATAGTTTTGGTGTACAAGTTATTTTTACCTGTAGGGATGGAACACGCACCTAAAACACTTCAGATGGATCATTCTTAAATAGAAAGCAGTCAAGAACCCGAGTGAGTTGTTGGCAGCTGTGATGTGGTGCAGCTCCAACAGCCTCCATCTAAAACCGCTGGACAGGAGCCGAGAGCGGGTTACACATATCCAAATATGCGCGTAATTGGAGTGCACTGGCGAGGCGTCCCTTGCACCCCTTCCGAGATACTGTTGTCGTGATGTTCAATACTTCGGGAACTGAGCACACTTTTCACAAGAAAGAGGATGTTTCCGAAGTTATCAATGACACCCTGCAGTTCATTACTACCAGTCCCACAGTCATGTGGAACGAGTCGTGCGGGAAGCAGCTGCAGGATTTCGGGCGCCCGGAGAAGATCATCATCGGAGTGATGCTGGCGATCATCACGGCGGTCACGGTCATGGGGAACACGCTGGTGGTGATCGCGGTGTGCGTGGTGAAGAAACTAAGGCAACCTTCAAACTACCTTCTGGTATCTCTAGCAGTGGCGGACCTGTCAGTGGCCATAGTTGTGATGCCATTGGTAATAGTGACGGACCTCACCGGGGGCAAGTGGCTTTTTGGAGAGGTGTTCTGTAACATCTTCATCGGCATGGATGTAATGTGCTGCACTGCCTCCATCATGACACTGTGTGTGATCAGCGTCGATAGGTAAGTTTCCAAAGTTAGCAACTAAAGCTTATTTGATATTAAAGCCTGTCTATTTGCAGTGGCACCAAAATTACGCACGCGGTGCGTTTAGAATGACGCGGAGAAGACAAATGGTCTTTTATGAGCAGCTCTAAACCATTTAAGGACACTGAATGCAGGAACAGTTCATGGAGTAATGATTTTGTTTTTGCGTCAGAGAATGGCACTAAATGCCTGATTCCAGATCAGCCGCTCCTCTGATTATCTGTGTGGCTGAAGCTACTGATCCAGAAAATTAATACGCAGACTGTGATTAATTTATAGCACGCTGAATTAATTTGCTTGACTGGAACATGAGCAGTGTTTCCCGTAATTACGCATTTAGGATCAGCGCACATCGACCTTACAGCTGCTATGACTTTGATACATGATTTACCATCGTCCTACGTGTCTGCCGAGGACACACCGCACCTGCTCTCCATTATCACGCCCCTTTAACAATAAAAAAATTCAAGTGCTGTAGGTAAAGTTCCCCTCTGAGAAAATGAACTACAACTGTTGTTTGTTTGTCCCACTACATATATATGAGGTCTACCACCCTAGTGTTTTGCATCAACACATTGCTCCTAAATTATTCATTCAAGTTGCCAAATGCCCCACAGTGAGTTACTTTAAATTGCACATCTAAAATGGGGAAAGTACACCCCACCCTCCATGATCCACTCTGCATCCCAGGTATACTCAAGCTCTTTGGCGTCACTGCTCATGTATAATGCCAGAGCTTAGCCTGATGGCTTGTGACAAATGAGACATGTCCACCGCTCCTACTGTAATCCACAGTGAAATAAAAGTCAAGTGATTGGTGTCCTTGTTCGGCCCCAGTAACCATAATGAAGACAGAGGCTTGTTCTAGTATTGATGATCTGATTATTCCTCCCGCTTGCCAATCAGGTATTATTACCTCAGTGCATTACACCCACAATTATGCATGTTTCCTGCTTGTGGCTGTGGAGCACAAGGGACGTAAGTACGCCTGAGGAGCTAATGATATTATGGGAGGAAGTGGATCACAGATATCATTCTGCGCTGTGGTAAACCTAACAGAGGTATGGGTGTGCTTTGGGCCTGGTTGAACAGAGGGTAACAAGATTAGTTGAGTAGAAGCTAACAGGCCCTTTTGGTGGAGGGGGGTAAGATTAGAGGTCACAGAGGTCACAATGATAATTGAAGATGGAGGGACAGTGTTTGTACATCATCTGTGGCCACTCTCTCCACTGAGGTCATTAGTTGACCTCTTGAGTCACTACAGAACCAGCTACACCCCCCTATATAATTAAATATATATATATGTTTTCCCACCATAACCCCAGGAAATAAGGAGGACATCATTTAGATTTAGATTATTTAGATGTCAGCATGTTGAACTAGGCCTCTCTCTTTGGTGGACGATAAGTGGGAGTGTGGCAAACCAGCACTGTTGGGACTTATGGTCATTGTTTGTGACAAGGGATGTGAATTGGTCATAGTCTATACTCAGACAGAACAAATGCACCCACCTGTAAGCAAGCACGTCTGAATAGATAGAGGAGTCTGAATCTGGTACCATGAAATCAAAGTGCACACCCACTAAACCATTGTAGATGATCTTCTTCAAGTCTTCCTGCTGTTTGTCAACTACAAGACTAACTGAAGATTTTAAATAGTTATGAAGTCAATTTGGGATTATTTTCATCCCTGCACAAGCTGTACAGCAGTTCTGTAAACTGTTTGCGCTGACATCCATGAAAACAGGCTCGTTTGAATGCAACAATGCAGAGGGTGTTTGGCACATGATTCACAATTGGAATCATAGAGATAATTTATTAGGGTGGGAATTGCCAATTAGACACATGATTAGCTGTAATAAGGGCTCTCTCGCTGTCATTTAGGACTCCCAAGGACATGCATTATAAAATTAAGATGAACAGTAGGGAGTGTTGCAAATGAGGCTCCAGATTGAACAGGTTTGTTTGTGGGGGTTATACAGTCCCTGAAGACTAGGTGCTCTGCTGCAGAGGGATATTGATTGTCTCTCAGAGCTCCTTGAGCTTTACAGGGGAGATGCTGCATATATGTATATGCCAATATGGACAATGTGGTGCTAGAGGAGCGATCCCTAGTGTATGGGGCCAATAAATTTATGATCCTGCAGGGACTTGACAGGCATCAATAAATGCTCTCAAAGAACCTGCTGTCATCCTGATGGAACACAGAATCTCTACACTAACCACTTTAACACGAGTCTAGTCAGTGCTGGATTTAACCCTGTGGGATCCCAGGGCAAAAATGAGACCTGTGCAATATTAACTTAAATAATGCAGATTTAACACTATTTTTTGATACAAGGCCCTTATATTTTACTAGTCAGCGTATCAAGATTAGTTTAAGAGTAGTTTCTATGAACATATACAGTCAGGTCCATAATTATTTGGACAATGATACAGTTGTCATCATTTTGGCTCTGTACACCACCACAATGGGTTTTAAATGAAACAATGAATACCTGCTTAAAGTGCAGACTCTCAGCTTTCATTTAAGGCTTTTTTCAAAAATGTAGTATGAACCGTGTAGGAATTACAACCATTTCTTCACACAGTCCCCCAACTTTAAGGGCTCATAAGTATTTGGACAAACTAACATAATCATCAATTAAACAGTCAGTTTTAATACTTGGTTGCAAATCCTTTACAGTCAATGACTGCCTGAAGTGTTGGACACATAGGCATCATCAGATGCTGGGTTTCTTCCCTGGTGATGCTCTGCCAGCCCTTTACTGCAGCAGTCTGCACTTCCTGCTTGTGTTTTGGGTGTTTTGCCCTCAGTTTTGGCTTCAGCAAGAGAAATGCATGCTCAGTTGGATTCAGGTCAGATGATATGACTTGGCCATTGCAGAACATTCCACTTCTTTGCCTTAAAAATGTCTTTGGTTGCTTTTACAGTATGTTTCAGGTCATTGTCCTTCTGCACTGTGAAGCATCGTCCAATGAGTTTTGAAGCATTTGGTTGAATCTGAGCAGATAATGGTGCCCCAAACACTTCAGCTTTCATCCTGATGCTTTTGTCAGCAGTCACATCATCAATAAATACAAGAGAACCAGTTCCACTGGCAGCCATACATGGCCATGACATAACAGTACCTCCACCATGCTTCACTGATGAGGTGGTGTGCTTTGGATCATGAGCAGTTCCTTCCCTTCTTCCTTCTCTTGTCTTCCCATCATTCTGGTAGTTGATCTTTGTTTTATCTGTCCATAGTATGCTGTTCCACAACTGTACAGGCTTTTTAGATGGTTTTTGACAAACTCTAATCTGGCCTTCCATTTTTAAGGCTAACCAATGGTTTGCATCTTGTGATAAACCCTCTGTATTTATTCTAGTGAAGTCTTGTCTTGCTTACAAGAGCAGCAGGGTGAAAGCTGAAGTGTTTGGGGCACCATTATCTGCTCAGATTCAACCAAATGCTTCAAAACTCATTGGACGATGCTTCACAGTGCAGTTGGACATTGACCTGAAGCATACTGCAAAAGCAACCAAAGACATTTTTAAGGCAAAGAAGTGGAATGTTCTGCAATGGCCAAGTCATATCATCTGACCTGAATCCAATTGAACATGCGTTTCTCTTGCTGAAGCCAAAACTGAGGGCAAAAAACCCAAAACACAAGCAGGAAGTGCAGACAGCTGCAGTAAAGGGCTGGCAGAGCATCACCAGGGAAGAAACCCAGCATCTGATGATGCCTATGTGTCCAATACTTCAGGCAGTCATTGACTGTAAAGGATTTGCAACCAAGTATTAAAACTGACTGTTTAATTGATGATTATGTTAGTTTGTCCAAATACTTATGAGCCCTTAAAGTTGGGGGACTGTGTGAAGAAATGGTTGTAATTCCTACACGGTTCATACTACATTTTTGAAAAAAGCCTTAAATGAAAGCTGAGAGTCTGCACTTTAAGCAGGTATTCATTGTTTCATTTAAAACCCATTGTGGTGGTGTACAGAGCCAAAATGACGACAACTGTATCATTGTCCAAATAATTATGGACCTGACTGTATCTATATGTGTATGCAGAATCTGAAAGCAACGGCACAAGATTTGTTGTGTATGTCGGCATCATGTTTGAGCAGCAGGTAAACAGTCCGGGTGGAAAAGGCGGAATGCATTAGCCAAAATGCAACCTGACGATGATTATTTTTCCTTTCTTTATTTAATCTGTATTCATATGCAAATATCTGTTTATAGAGATTAGCTGACATGACCACCACGCAGAAGAGGAAGTCTTGTCCCGGATATCTGCTGGTTACACCAGAACCCTCGAAATATCAGGAGGTTGGTTTAAGGATTACTTCAGCAATGTAGTATTGCACCTACATAAAGCTGGAGGACAAGAGTTATTTTTAGATGTGATAAAAATCAATGCAGGAGAGTATGAGTTATCCTGGCTGTTAGTCAAATCACTGAATCCTATGTTTTCCATATTGCAAGTCAACAGTGTCATTTGTTAGAGACCCCTCGCCTAGTAAGTACTCACATCTTTCAAAATCTACACCTTTAGAGAGCTCTCCTTAGAACCAATTAATACCTTTCTTCAAGGACTGAGTACTCACTGTGAACTAAACATGATGTGTAAAATCCACAGAGAAATCCTCTAACAATGCAGGTATTAACCATGTCAGGGAGGGATGTCAGGTTAACAAGAGGGGCCCATTTTGCTAACAAGGGGGAGGGTGTCCCCTCTCATCCCCTGTCAAATCACCTACTGCACATATGCCCTGGTGCAGCTGTCCAGTTTGCCCAGTTAATTCAGCCTTGGTCTCACTCTACAGTGTCATTGTATTGCAACTAAATTTGCACATGCATCCATTTTGTGGTTAAATGGTGCCTTTAAAAGACATGTTAAATATTGTAGCCAATTTAAAGACGTTTTCAAAGACTGAGCAGTCTGTCTTAACAGGTGACAATGTTTAAGAAAGAAAATATGCATTT